TAAAATTATGCTTAGAAATTATGGGAAGGGGGTGAGCGTCATTGATTTTGTACATGGCATGCAGGGGGGGTCACTTAGTTTGTACATAAACTTTAGGGGAGGGTCATTCACATTGTACATGCTTCTCCATAAAATCATCATCACCAGCTAGCCATAAATTATGAACGGTCCCTTATAGAAATTATATTAACAGAAAAAAATGATTGACAAAGCGACTTACAGACAACGTTTGATTTATGTCTCACCTGCATAGATCATATGCATACAAATCTAAGTAAACAACAGGTATAACAGACTCGTAGGATCCACGTCTTTAGATCGTAATACCCGTAGTTCCTTATCGGTATTCGACTAAAATATCCGGAAGTGATACGGACCTTAAAACCAATTCGTTGTATCCGTCATTTCGTTATAGCGTGTTTGCTGTAAACCTAGTCTGCTGTATGTCAAAAGTACACAACCATTCATCAATATAGTTATGAGAGACATGAAGACCAAGTGTTGCCACGCTGTCCAGTAAAATAGTTCTGTTTATGCCTTCTTAAATCAATAAAGGAAACGAATAGGAATGTTGATTTCTTCATAGTTTTACGAGTTCCTGCTATGGAAGAAAACATTTGAATATGATCTGTGGCGAACCTTTTCCTCCGGAAACCATTTTGCGCATCTTGCAACATATTATTGATTCTGTCCAAGATTTACGCCTACAGATGCCACAACGCAGCTTGTTTATGGGGATTATGCCCGGAATTCAGTTTTGAATTTTTCAGGATAAGATTGATTATCACATAAGGCTATATATTATTGTCAATTATTTCAAGAAACATTTTAACAAATTCGAAAAATATCATTAAGGTGTTTTCCGCCGTGTGCCAGATTGTAGGATGAAAGCCACAAGAGGAAAACAAAGATTTGGGTGAGGAAAAATGTCCCAGAATGGTGATGATGATTTTTAAGGGAGAAGCATGTACAATGTGAGTGCCCCTTCCCCCCACCCCCTCTAAAATTTATGTACAAAGTAAGTGACCCCCTCCATGTCATGCACAAAATCAATGACCTCCCTCCCTTTCCCATATTTCTTAAGCATAAAAATAAGTACAAAATTGCCGACCACCAGTACATATATGCAAAATTGATGACCTCCTCAGAACAAAATGGGTGACTCCCCTTAAACCATCATCAAACCCCACCCCCACCCCCAAGGCTTAAATTATGAACGGTCCCTAAAGGATGATTGAATTTACAATATGTCCTTCCTTTTGTGCCCCGCGGTGATGCTGCTGGAATATTGCTAAAACCATACTCACTCACTCACTCCTTCCTTTTGTTTACTACAGAGCAGTTACCTCCCTTATAGACTGTAAATAGCGCAGGGGCTTGTGTATAATTCCGTGGGTATTACATGTTAATTGTTGGAACCATTACTAATTGTAATCACTGTTGTGTATGGATTCAGAAAAAACATGGTTCCATTTTGTCTGTTTGCTATATATGTTATTTTGGGTGATTGAATATGAGTTCCAAAAAATGCTTGCGACACCAATTCGAGACAAAATTATTTTTATAAACTTATCACAACATAGTCATGTAGCATATCAAAAGGTAGCTTATGATGCATGATGTAGACATAACCATATAATATGCTTCTAATTTCAATTTGGACATAATATATGCTGCCATGACATGCTTATGTAGTAATAATAGTACCCAGGTAAGGTTAATGTGGCCAACAAGTAGCCGTGCACAAGACTCAAATCAGGTCTACCTGTACAACCAGAATTGGCACACTTACCTTCGTGTCTGGGTAATTACACGACAAATAACATAAAGCAAAATCTGCAGTCTATATAAACTGAATGTATGAATGCAAGAATGACAAATTATATTACAGTGAACGGATCACTACAAATTACAAGTGGGGTATGCAAATGCAATATATAATGTGTACTAGTATATGTATTTTGACTTTCACAAGGATTTAGCATTGTTAAGTAGCTTGCATTGTCAATCAATCCGTCACTGACCTGCAAGAACAAAACATGCTGTTGAAATACAAGCTTCGGAAGTACAAACACAAGCATGGATTTTACGCATATTTTTTTATCTTAATTTGGAAACTAGAAGGGCCCTCTTAGAGAACATCCCTGCGCCATTCACTGTTCACTATTACATTTTTAACGAACTGCTGTGTACTTGTACTTTAATGTACTTTCAGCAAACCGTACGCAGATAGCCCTTGTGTCATATCTAACATAACCGCAAAGTTCCATTCAAATCCAGATATAACATTTTGAGATATTATTTATATTCCCCATTTACTTAACACTGCGATTATTTTCAAAGAATGTTTCTGAATCCATAAGCAATACTGATCACAGCTTAATATACAGAGGACGTACAGAGTAAACTCCCTCTCTCATTACTGCCTTAAACCTCTCACAATTGTCGACCCATCAGAAAACTATTACAAACAGACCACAGAGCCTACTAGTCGTGTTATGAAACAAGCGAGCCATAGCTGTGTGTCCGGGTTCAACGTCATCATCAGCCTGTATTTATAGCCATGATGCCAGGTGTTCACCAAAAGGTGAGCTTATCCTGTCCCAATGATGGCACCTGTGACAAACACATGAAAAGTCATGTCAAGTGTTCACCTGAAAAAACAAAAACGTTGGAAGAGAATATAATCTCTGTGTGTACCTAATACTAACGTGTATCTAATCAAACATACCAGTAGAAGGACAACCTCAATATCCCAACTCCACGTGTCCGCCTCACGGTGATTGTATCCCAAGGCTAAACAAGCACGTCAATGCCGACATGTCACGGCGAACTTGTGTGTGTAATATTATCCCACTAGTGTGACACTTGTTATTCTTCGTGGATCTGGCCTGGTTACTCTACACTGCTTGAGACACCAGCAACGATAAGGCTGATCACTTGGCTGTTTCCAACATGTATTGTCAGTCACGTGACAGTCAAGTGAACTAGGTATTTTAAGTTCTTTCCCTACAGCAGATAGAGGGATTTGAGTGCACATAATACTTCGGGACTTTAAATGCCCTTCGGCGTGCTGTACTTTAACAGTAAAAAGAGTAATTATCCTCCAGGGTAAATTCAAATGTTGAGTGGACCAAATATCTTTGCTCGTGTGCGTACTGTTCTGTTATAACGAGGACAAGCATTGTGATTTGTTGCATTTCGTTTTTGATTAACGAGTGGATTGAGTTTCACACTGATTGTCAACAGCATATCAGTTATATTACGGCGGAAGTGTAGTCTGTCATACACACCCTGAAGCAAACATATCCAAGAAAGCCCACGCAAGTCTAGAAAATGTGGCAAGTCTAGATATCCTCAGCTTCTGAAAATGAATAAAGTCTCAGGGCTCCTTTTCATTATATATATATTTTTTTTACTATGAAATATTTTTCAGTAAAATATGTTCATTTTAGAGACTAGTTGTTAGTCTAGGCGGAAGTGATGCAGCCACAGATGTTTACCAATCGGTCAAAACACGGGCACAGTAATGACACTAACAAACCTAGAAATTATGCACAATTCAGGAGGACCGGGATTCGAACCCTCAGTTATAGGTTTCTGGCTACGACATGATGTGTGCCTAATATTCCTTGATCCCAAAGAAATTGGGTCTTATGCAAAAAATAACAAATGCTACTTCTAAATTATCGAAACTGCCATGCATGTCTGAGTTTTTAAAATGCAGTAGCTCTTAAATAATCCTTGCAATATTGAAACTACACATAGGTCCTGTTGAAAATTGCCTTCAGGGGGTTGTTTCATCGAATGTCAACAAATCTGATGAACACCACAGACAGGAAATAGCTTTGAGTCGCTGAACCAAAACGAGATCCTGTTTCTAATGGTGACACGCTTGACTCAGTCAGACGTTCAGACGTTAATGGAGATGTACTGTATAACTTATGGATTAAATCATTTATGAAGCACATTAAAACATAGCACCATCTTGGAGAAAAAAAATTATTAGTAAATTTTAGTGGCCTTAACATATTATATCCCACTTGTATTACGGAAACTACCGATAATGACCAGAGTCGTCACATGACACGAGGTCTGACGTCATAGTGGAGAGATGACGTGCAGACGATCAAACGTATTGTTTCGCTTGCTCACCGAAGGGCTTCGATGACACTCAATGTAAACAAAGGGTAAATACGCAGTAGGAATGTCTTAATGAAAGTTAAACATGCTATGACATATTTAGTTAAATATTTAGACTCCTCAAACGTGAAACACATGGAACTATATGAACGGTGTAGGATGTCAAAAATCGCAACACCTGTCGCTAGCCTGTGGCGGAGTACTATATGCTGACAAAGCTCTGCACAGTGTATCCATTTTCAATGACATTGTTTAGTGGCCTCAAACATACTCGTGGCCATCAACTTGAGGCTACGTTTGGTAAAAGATATCTTGACAGCACAGAAGTAGCTGTGTAGATCTAACGAGTGAAGACACCTATACGATGTTTGTAAACGATCGCGTGTGGACCAGACAATCCAGTGATTGTTACCACACATTAATAATTCACTATGATATAAGCGCGCGCGCACGCACACACACACACACACATATTAAGTCCAACAGCCACATTAACACAACGCCCAGGTTGACGCAAAATCACAAACACACACACACTCTCTCTCTCTCTCTTCTCTCACTCACACATATTCACACAAACACACATGCTCATTAAGACCAACATACGCTCATAATAACATACACCCAGATCACGACACACACACCCTCACCAACACACAAACGCCAGCAAACATTCATACTAACACACACTCTCACACTCACACCAAGACACAGACACACTAAGATCAACACTCACACCAACACACAATCTCACAAACACAAACTCACACAATGACGCTCACCTCCCCAGCAGACACAACTGTCGTGTCTACAGACTGGCTCCATACTGCAGGCTAAAATAACACCAACATGGCAGCAATGGTCGAGAATATTTATTCAAGTTCTCACAATACACCACATTTCCTCGTAGACATAGATATGTTACATATCGTACGCTTTATATACGCTGATTCAATACTATGTATGTTGATAGGTCCGGTCATACACGCAAGTGTACTAAGCGTTTTAATATGAAATCGTTGCATTTGTCAACTTTCCAGCTTGTTTGACCAGAGTGTTTCCGTGACGATCAGTTCAAAGTACTACACACATTTCATTGCCCCCGGCTTCTCAACTGCCTGGCAATAGCCGGAAATAGAGACTCGAAGGTGTAAACGAGGCTGTCGCCATCACCGGAAGTGTTTCTTCCCATACCACGTGACGAGCTTCCAAAATGGTTGCTGTGTCCAATAGAATCAAATCCTCTTTTCCCGACATCTGGCTCGCCGTTCCTGTCAAAAGACGATATCCCTCCCGATGACTGTGCAAGCGGTGCTGTGGACATCCGCTTTAGTTGCGACCACAGGAGGGACTGTGATAAAGCTTTATCACCCTGTGGATCAAAACACAATTTAATTATAACTAAGTGTTGCAGTATATAACATATGTTATATTTGGCATTACACTTCCAGGAGTATTCTCCCGGATGGGACTCAACCCCAAAAGTAACGTACAGAAACAAAACATAAATATATACAAATCAAGAACCAACTAAACCATCCTGTAGTTCATCCCCGACCTCTTCTGGCAAATTTCCGATTTAAAAAATCATCTATGCATGCAACCCTAACGCTTTTCGTCAAATTCAACTGAAACTTGGCCCCGTGTTACACGCGTGCGTGTCTCGATGCACACGTGTGTGACACGGGACTCAAACGCGTTGCACACCAGTGTGACACGGGACTCAAACGCGTTGCACACCCGTTGCACAACCGTGTGACACGGGACTCAAACGCGTTGCACACCCGTGTGACACGGGACTCAAACGCGTCGCACACGCGTGTGACACGGGACTCAAACGCGTTGCACACCCGTGTCACATGCGTCTTACACGCGTTCCCAACGCGTTCAAGGAGAATTAACTTTTAGGCAGTAGTGTACTAGAGTCGATTGTACAAGGGTGACTATATCATGAGTATATATTTGTTTCAACAGTATTACAGATGTACGATGTTTGTAAACAAATCGACCAGACAATCCACTGAATGTCACCATGCGATACTATGACAGAGCATGTGTTTATGAATCACTATGAAATAGTGACGATACCGGGTGTTCGCGAAAAGGTCAGCTGAAGACCACATTCAAACCCGGATCTTCACGGGTGTGTTTGTAAACAAATGAGACGTTTGAACAGACTGTCCTACCGCATGTCTGTCGTTGCACATATTTTACACAATATACAGATGTGGTCCTACAGCTGTGACAATGAAGTGCGCAACAACTGTTCTATATATACTACCCATCAAAAGTTTAGACTCACTGGTGTAAATGTAGCCACGTACTTCAGTCAACTGTTCTGAACTAGAATTTGCAAAATATTCCTTACTGTTTAAAGGTACTGTTTACACATGAACTGACGTATTGTAAAACAAATTCGTAATGTTGAAAAGAATATTGTCATGAGTTCAATAAATGATGAATCTCAGTGAAAATTGGCGAATTCTTAACAAAACTTTAAACCCATGCACATGCACGATATTTGCACATGCTTTTCAGCAATTTGATGCATGGTCATCGTGCAATTCATCTGCATAAGGTTTGCAGTTGGTTCCCCCAAGTTAGTGGAGAAATTCATCTTCGACGTCGTCACATATACATAACATATAGTGAGTGTTTTAAGTGAGTGTAAACTTTTGATGGGTAGTATATATCTGTATTCCTTGCCCTCTGTAGCGCTTCTGACACCTAACGTAAACAAGAGACAGAAAGGAAATGCAAATGAAAATAGTTTTCACGTATTTGGATATATTCTTAATGAAAGTTATCCATTTAATGACATGTTTATCTAAGTCTAAATATTTAACTAAACGTGTCATGAAATGGTTAACTTTCATATTTAGTCCTACATAAAATCCTCAATAAGGAAACAGATGAAAAACATGTAATATCTTAAATGGACACTGCAAAATGTGACAAGTTTTTTAACGCAGCTCTCGGCAATATTCCAGATATATAGCAGCAATCTGTAATTAATCCAGTGATCAACATCATGAGCATCGATCTACGTAAATGGGATACGATGACGTGTGTCAACCAAGTCAGCGAGCCTGACCACCCGATCCCGTTAGTCGCCTCTTACGACAAGCATGGGTTACTGAAGACCAATTCTATGGTAAGAGTGACGAATCGTCACACATGTCGCTAGTCTGCGTCAAAGGTACTAAATGCTTGCCGCATGGAACTCGGGGTGGCAGAGTGGTTTTATTGCGCCAAACGATGTATGATTGGGTATCGTAGCCAAAGCTGTTTGTTTTAATTCAAATTTTAGTGATGGGATTCGAAACTACCATAGTTTAGTTACAATCGGACGTGCCTATGGGACAAAGCGCTGCACGGCTAATCCAGTCTGATCCAGTGCTGACTGGATTAGTGTCAGAACAATACTGGTTCACGGCCACGTCGCAAACAAGGTACAAGTGATTGTTGACGTCACCGTGTCCAAGCACGGAGATCATTGGTGTATAGATGTATGTGTTTATTTTGCAAAGCACTTCTTAACATCACTTGTTTCCATTTCCTTTAAAGGCACTCTTACATACATCTTATATTACAATATTATCTTCTTTATAACACATCATAAATACGCAATCCCCAGTATACGTCTACATATATTATATTGCTGAGTTTTTCTGTGAAATCACTTGCTATGTTTTACTTTATTTTCACTTAAACGCATCTTTTAATGGTAGCTGACTGACTGACTGACTGACTGAATTTGGTTTTACGCCGCTTTAAGCAATATTCCAGCAACATCACGGCGGGGGGACACCAGAAATGGGCTTCACAAATTGTACCCATGTGGGGATTCGAACCCGGATCTTCGGCGTGACGAGCCAACGCTTTAACCACTAGGCTACCCCACCGCCCCTTAATGGTAACTCCCCTTTAGACAAATCTACCATTGTCAAAAACACGCTAATGTTAATCTTGTACATGACTTCTTAAAAATAATGTTTTCTTATTTTAATATAGCTCTCACTTGTTATCCAATTTTATTCAAATACAACTGTTATTTTTAGTGTTTTAATGTCTATAGCTTACATCTTAGCACCTTCTTGTGTACTTAATGCATTAATCCGTGAAGATCAGGGTTAGAATTGGCCTTCAGCAACCCATGCTTGTCGTAAGAGGCGACTAACGGGATCAGGTACAGTCAGGCTCGCTAACTTGGTTAACACATGTCATCGTATCCCAAATGCGTAGATTGATGCTCATGCTGTTGATCACTGGATTGTCTGGTCTAGACACGATTATAAACAGGAATATTGTTAAGTGCGGCGTTAAACAACAAACCAACCAACCAACAACTTAATGTATTTAAATGGATTATGATATCCATCGTAGTGTATGTCTAGTTTATGTGTCATATGCGGTGGGGTAGCATAGTGGTTAAAGCGTTGGCTCGTCACGCCGAAGATCCGGGTTCGAATCCCCAAATGGGTACAATGTGTGAGGCCCATTTCTGGTGTCCCCCGCCGTGATGTTGCTGGAATATTGCTAAAAGCGGCGTAAAACCAAACTCAGTCAGTCAGTCTAAATGCCCCTCAAAGATTTCGGACCAACTGCAACAGCAATTTTCTATGTCGATGAACATTATTTGTTTCCAAGATTTACAGTCGTTACCGTTTACTGCTTAATATAATACATTATCAAATTAAAGTTACAGATTAATCCGCGCTATGGTTATGGATATGGTATCGAATGCGCTTAAATTGGACGCGCTTACATCTATAGGTGACCTCGCTCGACACTGAATAGACAATATGTTTAACTCTGTTCTATCATGGCTACCTTCTAACATGGGAAACGAGAACCTTCGGGTGGCAGCAAATATACCAAGTGAAAAGGCAAAAGTATTTTGAGTGGATTGTCGATCTGAATTAGGGAACCACAGACAGCGGCCTGAAACATATTATGGCGCTAAAATGTAGTAGTGACGTTACAATGTATCACTCGTACGTATGACATGCGTTGGCAACGTGTAAATCAACACAAATTAGTGATCGTGAATTCTAACATGTAAAAACGATACCTTATACGTTTGACTCCTACACCTTTCCCGATAACTTGTTAATAAGGTAACACCTTATACTTAATTCCTAAAACGTGAGTGGTTTTGGTTTTACGCCGCTTTTAGCAATATTCCAGCAATATCACGGCGGCGGACACCAGAAATGGGCTTCACACATTGTACCCATGTGGGGATTCGAACCCGGGTCTTCGGCGTGGCTTATTTCTAAAGAATTGTAACCGTTACGTCTTTCTCTCACATTCTTACAATCCTATAACGATTTTGTTTTGTAGAATACATGTTAACAAGGTATTGAACTGAAATGAAGTTAACTTTCCCATATATGATATTGCATAATTAATATAAAAGTATAAATGTCCTTCAAAGAACTGTTGCTTATTTAGACTTTATTCCAACATTCTAATGTAATATGAAAATATTTTATTATTATTAGTTTTGACCTGAAAATACTGGACAGTTACTCGTTTTCATTAAAATAATCTGTAAACTATGGTTTTAATTCATTGGCTTCATACGTTCGTGTAATAATTTAAATATAAGTAAGTGAGTGAGTTAAGATTTTAAGTCACATCGGCAGTATTTCTGCCATATCGTGACCATATTAATTTGAAATAAAGTAGAATTGATCTTTCCACATACATACATCAAAATGGGAAAAATAACTTTTAAAACCTACTTAAACAAATGTACTTGAAACACAAACTTTGAAACAGGAGAGAAATCAGAAACTGCTTCAAGAGAGAGATGTCGAACCTTTTATAACGTTTGCTTTTTCATATAACACAAATTTATATCATCAAGAGGATGATCGTGTATAATTTGCATATTTTTTTAGAAAACGAAAAAGTACACCTACCATTTGCGAATTTCCGAACACACAAACCGCGGTCCCGCATAAAACAACCAGGGTTATTGGTAAGGCAGTCATGGTTACAAAAGCGCTTCAAACTGTCTCCGGAGTCAAAGAACAAGCTACTTATATAGTGTCTGCACTTGTCCACACACCTAATATATCTATTACAATGACTTTAAAGTGTACGCCTCTTTTATGAGGACCAAATCCCCTGTAACCATAAATTTCGCCAAATTGGTCTGTTTATATGGCTCCTCTGTTTCGCTCAGTTCTTGAGGCTTTCATGTCGCATACAGTGTCATTCCTTAGAGGAAGTGCGATGGCTGCTTTATGTTATTCTTTGCTTTCTGCTTGCAACCGGAAACGCTGTAAACGCCGAGCACTTTCGTCCCACATCAACCGGAAATCATATCAATATGGAGATTACTGCTGCGCCACGCCGGAAGTTGAGCCCTATAATGGCGCCGACATCACTTCCGGTTAAATATGTGTTCAGCAGCCACAGACGAAAAGTGAAATGTATTCATGTACAAATTGGACAGGTTGTTATTATATGTCTGTGGTAGTAAAATATAGCTTATAGATCTCTGGGGATAATATTTTTTTTGTTTGGAATGTAAAGAAGCGTTTTTAAACATCACGTGATATAGAGTCACGAACACAAAATGCGTAAAACCACTGAGGCAAATTTGATCAGATGAGGCGACAAACGTACATTGAGTTAATACCTTGTTTCTCATTTAGATGTACAAATCAGTGCGTGGTAAACATTTGTGTTCAATGGAAAATACGAAACCATAAGTCGAATGAGTACACTGGAAACTTAACACAAGATTCATGGTGCGTCTTGAGAAAAATACAGAATGACGGGGAATTACAGGCAAAATCGTATTTTAGGAATTCAGTGATTTAACTTCGGAGACGATACGGTGTCTCAGCTGATAAATCGTTCGCTTTCAAACCCTTGACTGGAATATTGCCAAACGTTTTAACAAGTCAATTTTTTGTATGATATTTTGCATGACTCTGCATTTGTGTAGCTCTTTGACGCTTAACAAGGCAATAAAAACGTCATGGTCTGGCCCCATGTTCCCGTTCTCACTTGCCTGTACGTGTGTCTGTGCCACAGCCTTTGCATGTGTTTATGATGGATGCGCTCACATTTTCGCAAACGCCTGGAGTGAGTGAGTGAGTGAGTTTAGTTTTACGCCACACTCAGTAATATTCCAGCTATATGGCGGCGGTCTGTATATAATCGAGTCTGGACCAGACAATCCAGTGATCAACAGCATGAGCATCGACCTGCGCAATTGGAAACTGATGACATGTGTCAACCGGGCCAGCGAGCCTGACCACCCGAACCCGTTAGTCGCCTCTTACGACAAGCATGGGTTACTGAAGGTTCATTCTAACCCGGACCTTCACGGGTAGCAAACGCCTGGAACCGTTGCTATTTGATAGTGATTGATTAACACAAGCTCATATCGTAGGAAAGTTGTCTGACTCACATAGTTTTACATATACACACTAATATCGTGTATATTGCATATAGTAAATGTACGTAGCTGGCAATACACACACCGTCACATTTGTTGAAGATGAAACCGAAACAGCCAATTTTATAAACTATACATACTTATCTTGTTGACATATTCTGTTGTCAGTCAGACCCATGTCACGTGCTTGTTGCAAATGGTTTAAATACTGTATTCTGGCAACCATAAACCTATATCCCGCACGTATTACACATGGTTGAGAGACGGCGGTTCCTGAAGGGCCATCCGTGTATCCAAGACATTAATTCCCCCGTTCACCGGCGTCAGATGCAGTGATTCACCAGATGTCCTTACATGACACATTTGTCTCAATATAAAATATATGTAACCATTCGTAAATTTCTGAATGTTTCAGAGTTTTTTCATTTTAAATTCCCGGAAACAATCGATGAAGACTAGTTTGCTTTCATGCAAATGTCGTAATACATTTTTTTGGTTTACTGGAGAAATAAGCATGAGTGAGGCATGATATACAGTGAATTAGCAATACAATCGATCAAAATGGAACTGTTGAAATGATAGTGAAGGTGTAAGGCCATAAAGGTCTGTAACGGTAATTTCGGGCGCGTAGAACAGTACAGCTGGTGAGACCACCATGTTTGACGATATTAGCACAGTACTTCTGTGAAGGAACTTGCGTATAGATACCATTGATGTTACCTTCCGTTCCTCCTGAAGAGCAGCCCCATGGTCATATATGTTTGGGGGTGTAGGGTCTCCCGCGTACACTCCTCGCTCCAGAACACCCAGCCGATGTTCACCGATGTTCACCGATGTTCTTGTATGGGCATGGTAAGGACATAATCGAGGACTATTTGGGTACGATTTGATCTGGTATTGTCATTTTGCAGTTCAAGATTTCTGCCGATATTGAAAATATTGCTTGCTAGTCCAATGTCAATTCACAAGAATCAGCTGTTATGTCTGATACCGACCCACGCAATGACACTACTACCCTCAAACAGATAATGGTTAAAAAGTGTCCTCGCATACCAAAAACGTTTTCTGGCATATTTAAATCGGCGACAGATCCTTGATTCGCCTGTAAAAAATGGTATAATCCCATTGATGAGCAGTAGATTTCTAGAGTTGCCAAGCCCAACCCGATTTTTGCCGTCTATGGCAAGCTGTTAGGGCCACCTCATTCACAGGACGCCTTGGTTTCAGGGAAGCTGCATATAGACGATTATTAAAGGTAGATGTTGAAAGTCACCCTCCTGTTCCTGTGCGTAAACCTCATTTGACTCGGGGCAGAAGCGAAGTGCAATTAATGGAATGAGACAATTGTGTGCAGGTGTCATTGTAGGCCTGCCATTCGCAGGTTCCATTGCAACCCGATCCGTTCCCCAACACGTGTCACAAAGTCATTACAATTTTTCAGCTGCTCATTTTGTGGTCAAGCAACAGTGATTTCATTACTACAATAAATGCACGTACATTACCCATATACACATGTTGTACTAAAATATATGTACACACATTACAAATATGACTGCATGTACAGTACACACATGCACATGCTGCACTACAATAAATGGGAAAAGACAGGACCTGTACTTTTTAATATTTCTTCATGAGCCTACATTTTCCTTCAAAGCCAGTAAGACCGCCTCCGTGGTGTAGTGGCTAGAGCGTCCGCACGGAGAGCGGAAGGTCGCGGGTTCGATCCCCCCACCGCGTCATACCAAAAGACGTTAAAATATGGTACTTGTTGGTCCCTGCCTGGCGCTCGGTATTAATGGGTACAACAAGGACTGGTCGGTCGGCTCGGTATTCATATCTCAGTGGGCTAGCACTATAAAACCAGCTTCAGTCTGGGCTAGTACAAGCAACCGCACATGCACATACACACGCATGCACGTCGTCATATGAGCGAAATATTCTCAAGCACGACGTTAAACCTAATTTCACCTCACCTCACCTCAAAGCCAATAACGGTCTAATTTCTACCAATTATACCCTGACCAACACAGCATACTGTATGGGTTCGGGCCCACAGAGTGGCTTGTGGAAATCACAGTGGATGTGGCAAGTATCGACGCAGAATCCATGAGCTTCAAGGCATGATTGATTCTGGTTGGCTGAAAAATGAGACCAATTTCATAAAGGTCCAACCTAAACAGGATGTGTATCACAAGTGCGAACTTTAAAGGTCACCTTCAACCAAAAAAATCAAACATGATTAAAACACAATTATCACTTATTCATGACATATAATATACATTGCTGGTTATGAAAAAACATATAAACAAAATTATAAGCGTACAATCGCAAATCAAAAGTGCAATATTGTGTACTTGGGTTTACTTCCCAAGAAACGAAGCAGCCGGGATACCGAACCCAGTCAGAGCGGGTGGGTGTGCACTCAAGTGTAACGGCTGGTTCATTTGCGTATGCCTCACGGCTCATTGTGTGTGTATATATAGAGATGTTGGGTTTTGTAAATACATGCTCATTTTTTGTGTATAACATTTTGCAATCAACAGACATCATAACATGTCATGTGTTCAAGTATCACACCTGCCTGTCTGTGTAATTACATAATGTGACAGAGACCGAACTCGGGCCATAAATCAATGCGTTTTGTTTATGGTGTATAGCCTGATTGGTGTTAAGTTCAAATTGCATGTGGTCAGTTATCGCAGTTGTGTATTGAATATTGTCATTAGCAGACAGGCAGGCAGACACACAGCTGTCAATAAAACAAGACATTGAGTTTTGTCTGTGACAACGACATATCTATATCACAGTTAGAAATTCTGTCAACGCTTAATAATGACATTGCTTTTAAGTATCGAACTGAGAAAGTGACTCGGTAAGAAGAACGTGTGGTGAAATAGACAAATGAAATTATATAAACAGTTTATTTACTGTCATAACATATAAAAAAGCTCGAGCCTGATATCAACAAAACATTAGAAAAATAGCTCACACCAAAGCCTTCACCGAGTATTCACCGGACAGCCCGCTTCCAAGTTGCGCGAACCTATTTCACTGCGCAAGTGCTATGAGCGCAGCCCAGCTGTTGAAACCAGTTTTCCCCCGAACAGTCGGGGGAAAATTAGTTAATCGTTTGAACTCCGATTTCGCGCGGTTTTTCTTCATCGCGTTATTTTTCAACTTTATAAGTTGAATTTGCATTTTTGATGATTTGTTTCGGTAAGTCCATACCGAAAGGTATCAGAATCTGCAAAGTTGTGTTTTACATTGCATGTGACCTTTAAGCATTCCACCTCTGTGAACTTAAGGCTGAAACGATCATGAAAAAACACGAGCAGCCATTCCCGTTATAACAACGTCTAAAGTAGCGTATTATCAACTACAGTAGAAATTGCAATTGGTTACCCCGAACACGGCTGTAACGAACTGTTTCATAAGTTCCAACCACACGAATGTTCATGATATCAGTCATTTGTTAGATTGGTACTGACATGAATATTGAAGGACGCCATCTCTCAGCTTGAGTATTGGCATGCTCGGGGTTAAACAACCAACACAACAATATTGTCAATACAACCTAAACACGTACACGTATCGGGGGAGGAGAGAGGAGAGGCATATCTCCGCTACCAATTTAATATAGACCCGACCAGGATGGTCCTGAATCTTTATGGTCGTGTGTGATCCTGTGCATAGAGCTCAGGTCACAAATCAGGTGTAGTTCAGCAATTTTGGGCGCGGAGAGTCCTTGAATGGGTGACCGTGTTTGGCAGCTTGACTCCTGAGAGTTTCTAGGACTTCTGTCCTGCCCCACAACGAGCACATGTGATACATGTGGTCTCACCTTAGGCAAGTGAGTTTGTTCAAAATTGCCTCTGTTGATTCAGCAGAAAATGCGTACCCGGTGGTATAAAGCATGTGACCTTCAAGCGCCTAACAGACAGCTGGGGTTATCCAGGGTAATAATGAATATGTACTATTGATTGATCATTCAGGGCGATCGTTGTTAAACCACTATTTATTCACTTTCATTAATTACTGGGAAAGGGTGATTGTGAAGGCTTCACACATCTGCCATTATGTGAAGAAAAACGCATAAGGTCACAGCAATAACATAGGCCTTGGCGTGAGTGAATACTGCTTATCGCCGCATCTACAATTTCGTTTTAGTTTAAGTTGAAACAGAGACTGGATGCAGTCTAGGTTTAGATAGGCATGCGGTCCTGTGAACTGTTTCTCAGGGATGAAAAAGTGAGTGAGTGATTGAGTTTAAGTTTACGCCGCTTTTAGGAATATTCCAGCAATATCACGGCGGGGTACACCAGAAATGGGATTACCACTTTGTACCCATGTGGAGAATCGAACCCGGGTATTCGGCGTGACGAGCAGACGCTTTAACCACTAGGCTACCTCACCGCCCCTCAGGGATGAAAAATTGGAAATCTGACTGAGTGAACCGTTCCAGTTGACCTATCTCTTCAAGACACATTCGTTATATTGTAATCGCACGCTGACAGATGGTCATGGTCACTGTGCCGGACTGTTTCCGGGGCTGAGTTTGTTGGATGGGTGCAGAGGACTGAGCCGTACATGTATCTGTCAGTACTGGACTGAGTATTTGAGTGAGAGAATAAATCATAGGGAGAGATAGACAGTTGGAGACAGAAGAAGGAGACATAGACATGGAATAGATGGCGTCAGTAGAATCAAAGTATGATTCATGATGGTGTGGTTTGTTTGTTTCTTAACGTTTGTTACCAATATTCCAGCTATATGGCGGCGATCTGTAAATAATGGAGTCTGGACCAGACAATCCAGTGATCAACAGCATGAGCATCGATCTACATAACTGGGATACGATAACACATGCACCAAGTCGATGAGTCTGACCACCCGATCCCGTTAGTCGCCTCTTATGACAAGCATGGGTTGCTGAAGATCAATTCTGACCCGGATCTTCACGTTCTCACGAAGCAAGTCACTTAAAGACGTGAAATGTAAAAATGTTGTTGATAGTTTCAGAGGATGAGGTGTAATCCGTGCATCTGAAAGAAACGTCGACTACCCATGATGAAATACACGCACACGGTTAATACTTTAACTAGGGCTAAATGATACTTACTAACTCGTCACGATATGGCTGAAATATTGCCGATGTGACGTTAAATTTTAACTCACTCACTCACTCACTAACGTGTATACTCATGGAAACAAATAAGGGAACACATGAAAGCACAAGTGTTCCTTTATTCTTTTCCAGGTTCCTTCACAAGCTTTGTATTGACTGTTGGTGAAATTTTGGAAAAGAATAAAGGAACACTTGTACTTTCATGTGTTCCCTTTTTCGTTTCCATGAGTATATATTTTGAAATGTATCATATCATATACACACATTTATCTGCAAGCCAAGATGACCTTCTCCAAGATGTGTACACACAGTACACGTTATCTCCATGTTCCTGGAACTAACCCCTGGTTTTCGCGAAAGTGTAGTATCACGTCAGCGGGACTGAGATAAGGCTGTATATATACTCCTCGAGTTACTCCGGCCTCATACAGTGCAAGGGCACGGAGTAGCAGGAGCATGGCGTCTCTATATATGTGGATACTCTCAGCTGCACGATTAGGGTGAGTGCCGTTGACATGTGCTTAAGACACAAATCTGTGTCGACATTCTAAACGTTATAAACAATATGCATCCTTGAAGATCCAGGTGACAACTGATCTTTGGTAAACCTACGTTTGTTTGTTGTTTAAAGCCGTACACAATATTCCAAATATATGGCGGTTGTTTGTAAATAACAGAGTCTGGACCAGACAATACAGTGATCAACAGCATGAGCAGCATGCTACGGGGCACCAGAGTCAGCCAGTGGATCGCTGGTGGGGACAAATCCTTGATTTATTGATACAGCATGTGAAGCCTTGTCTTGGTTTCTTGGGACATTGGTTTCTCTGTTTCTTTTACGACCTCCAGGTACCGACATCCGAGTGAGTGAGTTTACTTTTACACCGCTTTTAGCAATATTCCAGCAATATCACGGCGGGGGACACCAGAGTGAGTATCGTTTAACGCCGCTTTTAGCAATATTGCAGCAATATCACGGCGGGGGACACCAGAGTGAGTATCGTTTAACGTCGCTTTTAGCAATATTGCAGCAATATCACGGCGTGGGACACCAGAGTGAGTATTGTTTAACGCCGCTTTTAGCATTATTCCAGCAATATCACGGCGGGGACACCAGAAATTGGGCTTAACACACTGTATCCATGTGGGGAATCGAACCCGGGGCTTCGGCGTGACGAGCGAAGCTTCAACCACTAGGCTACCCCACCGCCCCTACCGACATCCGACTTGGCATTTGGAGTTATTGTGCCTTGCATCTGTGCATATAGCCAAACCACACAGATGATACTCTACAACTCAAAATTATGTTCCCCAAGGGCGCATTACGAGTACGCACAATAACACAACCAAGTCGATACCTGTGCATGACGTTTTGTCACGCGTGTTGTTTGTGTTAACGTTGTGGACGAAGTCAACCACCTCCCGTGACCTTCTCGAAAGGAATTTCTTTTTGAGGTGTAGTGTAAGTACGTCACTAGAACTATCCATGTTATCACGGTTGGGTTGGTTCATTCCAGGTAAATGCTACTGGTTCCTGTTCATCGCAATATGACTGCCCCGCGGAACCACGAGCTGAGCAAGTCTTGCGGTGGCGCCGATGGGAACAGCTACCAGATTCCTAACGATATTGTGTGCGCCAAGACAAGGATCCACAATGACCACATGGACCAGGTCTCGGTGTTGAAAGCCATTATGGAGATCAAACATAAATTCAGTGAAAACATGCCACTCCTCGCTGACAAGCTTGACATGTTAGTAAAGAGCAAAGATGCAGAAATACAGGCTTTAAAGGACACGATAAGCCGAGGAGAGGACACCAACCGAATCCTCAACGAACAGTTGTATGCATACCGGGTGAATGAACAGAAGATGAGGTACGAAATTAAGCTGCAGAAGAATGAAAACAAAGAACTGGGGATAAAAGTGATGAAATATCAGTCGGAAATCGCCGCCATGACTGAACATTTCCGCAAATTAGACGTCATGACAGGCAAGGTAGACCTTGTGCTCCAGAGAACAAAACCTTCCTCCTCTGCAGTTGTCTCCCTTAACAACATTGGAACTAAAACAGGGGGAGCACAAGGCAGTGAAAACTGTTTCACTCCTGAAACGACATCTGTCGGACAAAGTGTAACTCACATTACCCGTCCTCAAGATTGTCCACGTCAAAATGATGGTAGACATTCACGGACACAAAAGCTCCCAGTTGCTGATATACCTTCGCGTAATGATACTCATGCTTTTCAATTTGGGAGCGTAGAAAGTCACCACTTTCACGCAAAAGAAAGTAAGCCGGCTATAAAAGAACCAAATCGAGATGGACAGGAGAACATAAAAACGGAACAGTATGTGTTGTCCCGTGTGGGAGGACAAGCAAGCTTTGACGTTGTAAGTACAGCTGTGGCGAGATATGCCGCCAGCAGGGGTGTACGGTTGATACATGTACGTCACATGAGGACATGGCGGTGTAAGGCCGGACAATGTACGTACACAATGCTGGTGGATATAGCACGTGACGACTCCCAAAAAGTACTGGCCAGATTCTGGCCAGAGGGTGTGTTTTGTAGATTGTATGTCTCTGAGGCTAAAATGAAAAGCAAGAACGAGAACAGGTCAGGAGACGGGGATAAAAAACAGCAAGCAGTAACTTCAACGTAAACGTTCATAGGATCCTGTCAGGCATAAGGGATACAACTCTTCACAGTGTATTAAGGTCCCTTAACTATTGGGCCGTCCGTACTCATAAAATACCAAATGTAATACGTTGTTAGCTTTGACTGACTTCATAATCTATTGAATTGTGTTCCATTTATCTCTAGTGTTTCATTATCTCTTGGTGTCAGTTTTGTATATACTTCTATGTCTTGCGCTTTGAGCATGTTGTACATGGAAAATAGCGCATTACAAGCATGCTATTATTATTGTGATATGCAATGTTTGTCTGTGTGGCGTCAGGTACCAAATAAATACTTACTTCCGGGTGCATGTTGTGTGAGTGCAGGTGCTACAGGCAGGGTAGGATACGCTTGCCATTATAACTAGTTCATATGTTTACAGCTATTTTAATACCTTTTACGTCCAGTGTAATCTGTTTGGGCGGATAATCGAGGCTGCATATTTGCTTTTATATTAAAACGATGCTTCTGACAGAATATATAGCTTATTTCCCTGTCCACAGTAATATTATTTTTTATCTTACCTCACACATAAATGTCGTTTTCTGATTGGTTGGACGCTCTTCTGTTAATTTCATTGTACCCAGCTTACAAAATTTTCATTTTTTATGTTCCCTGATCCCTTCGGAACATAAACAAACATAGAGGATATATCAACCCATGTCCCCTACATGACCAGTGAACAAGGTATTTATCTTACCGAACACCTCAGTGTTAATTTTGAACTGTTTGAAGCACGGGTATCGGATCATAATAAGGTGTACCAGAGTTACTCAATTAGCAAATACTCGATTTTCAGATGACATAGAATTTAGCAGACAAGAAAAACAAATTTAGAGTTATCTCCCTTCCATCAAGTTGCATTCGCAAAACATCGGTAATGTCCGTACATCATACGTGACTCAATTATTCGAGATAAAGAATTACTAACACGAAGTACCAAATGAATTCCCGCAGTTCGGCATTCCCAGCGGGTAGCATAGAAAATATTACTCGATTGTAAGCGAGGTACATTGAAAATAATAGAAGAGCGCTCAGTCAATCAGAAAACGACATTTATGTGCGAGGTAAGATAAACAATAATGTTCAGCAAGTGCGTTCACTGTAAACAAATTCATCATGGGTGAGCAGCAGGTCTTAGACCTTGGGGAAACGTTTACCACTGAAAGACCATTGAATCTGGGATTCGAGCCTATGACCAGTGCATCTAATCACAAATAAAGGCAGCATTTATTACGCCGCTTTGATAATCCGTTAACCACTTAACTGGTACAAGGTTTCAGATGCAGGGGCATGAGTGAAATGGCAAATTGCAAGTCATGAGCTGAGCAAAATATACATTAATTTGGCAAAGATTTGGAAACATGCTGAAGCATAAGGCTTTGGACCGAAAGTAGCTTCAACTAAAGAGAAATATCGGTTATATTTATAGATAATAATAAATTTCCTGACTGAAAGGATCGTCAATGTGTTTAAATATTTCTCATGAACGTAGATCGTTTTTCACAGTTTTTCACATATTAATTGACAATAATAGCTTTGTATCACTGAACCTAGGATGTATTATTTGCGTGGGTCAAGGAGATGTTTGTAGATTTCATTAGTGGATCCACAATTAGTGGATTTCTCACGCTGAATAATACGTGAGTCCCAACGGCCGTTCCAAAAACCTGTATCCACGCGTGAATAGTATATCTCCACATAGGCACTATGCAGGTACAGTCTCGACACAGAAACCGTCCCGACACACAGTTCCGACACACACACAGTCCAGACACACACACAGTCCAGACACAGGCACCGTCCCGACACAGGCACAGTCCCGACACAGGCACACTCCAGACACACACACAGTCCCGACACAGGCACAGTCCCGACACACACACAGTCCCGACACAGTCACCGTCCCGACACAGACACAGTCCCGACACAGACACAGGCACACTCCAGACACACACACAGTCCCATCACAGACACAGTCCTGACACAGGCACATTCCTGACACAGGCACAGTCCCGACACAGACACAGTCCCGACACAGTCACAGTCCCGACACAGACACAGTCCTGACACAGACACAGGCACCGTCCCGACACAGACACAGTCCCGACACAGGCACAGTCCCGACACAGACACAGTCCCGACACAGACACAGTCCCGATACGTACACAGTCCCGACACAGTCACCGTCCCGACACAGACACAGTCCCGATACGTACACAGTCCCGACACAGGCACCGTCCCGACACAGACACAGTCCCGACACAGACACAGTCCCGACACAGACACAGGCACCGTCCCGACACAGACACAGTCCCGACACAGGCACCGTCCCGACACAGGCACACTCCAGACACAGACACAGTCCCGACACAGACACAGTCCCTGACACAGACACAGTCCCGACACAGACACAGTCCCGACACAGACACAGTCCTGACACAGACACAGTCCTGAGACACACACAGTCCCGACACAGGCACAGTCCCGACACAGACACAGTCCCGACACAGACACAGTCCTGACACAGACACAGTCCCGACACACAGGGCACAGTCCCGACACAGACACAGTCCCGACACAGACACAGTCCTGACACAGACACAGTCCTGACACAGACACAGTCCTGACACAGACACAGTCCCGACACAGGCACAGTCCTGACACAGACACAGTCCCGACACAGGCACAGTCCTGACACAGACACAGTCCCGACACAGACACAGTCACAGACACAGTCCCGACACAGACACAGTCCCGACACAGACACAGTCCCGACACAGACACAGTCCCGACACAGACACAGTCCCGACACAGACACAGTCCCGACACAGACACAGTCCCGACACAGACACAGTCTCGATATGTACATAAGCCAAGCATATTCAACACACACTCGCACAGAAGAGACACCAGCAGTCCCGACAATGGGACAAGACACTGGCACGGTGCTAACACAGGCGCTCATTACAAGTACAGTTTAGAAGCTTATCATAAGATATATTCTGTTTGGAAATACTTCAGAACGCCAGCCTAATCCGCCCGCAAACTGTACATGTCCTACATCTACCGACCTTCACCTTGCTGGTAGGTCCACTATCTCGCCGTATCAGTAGATATGACAGGATTCACGGTAATTGTCGTTCTCAGCGTCTGTTGCTGCAGTTGCTTGAAAATATGTAAGTACATTTATCTAACCAAATTGGCCTCAATGCACAAAGTATGAAGAGGTACATTTAAACACTCGTGATCTGCATATGATTGAGAAGAGATAAACTGTTTGGAAACTGATATCACGTGACCGTGATCAGTTCCCACACCCGAGGAATTATAACAACACTCTATTGTGTATAGTATTGCGAATCTTTGTCCAAAAATCCTATCAACATGTTTTCAGGAACCTTCTGGTATATTTGATTTGTGCCAAATATATGACCCAATCTGATTGTTTCGTGAAACCATTGATAAGGGACTGTGTTGACATATGGCAAAATCTGTTCTCAGGTGATGGACTTCCGTGAAGTCAGATTTTCAAGTTTGAAAAATCGTCCTTTTGCAATAATTTCTGTGTATTTGATCATAAACTTGTTGTCAGAGGTCCGCCCGGAGAGCGGAAGGTCGCGGGTTCGATCCCCGACCGCGTCATACCAAAAGACATGGGGTACAACAAGGACTGGTCGGCTCGGAGTCAGTATAATGTGTCTGAGTGGGGTATTCATGCTTCACTGCGGCATGGTATCTCAGTGGGCTAGCACTATAAAACCAGCTTAAGTCTGGGCTAGTACAAGCAGCCGCACATACACATACACATGCATGCATGTCGTCATATGAGCGAAATGTTCTCAAGCACGACGTAAAACCCAATTTCACCTCACCTCACCGTTGTCAGAGGAGGGCAGATACTCATACCGATATTTGAAAGTTTATCGTTGCTGGTTGGTTGATTAACGTCTCGCTCAGCAATATTCCACCCATGTGACGGCGTTCTGTAAGTAATTGAGTCTGGGCCAGACAATTCAGCAGTTGACACAATGAGCATCGATGACGTACCCGGGAGTACGATCACCTGATTCAATCAAGTCAACGTGCCAAACACCAAATCCTACATTACCAGTTGTCTGTTACGGGCATGGGTACTGGACGACAATCTCTTAGTGGGTTCTTCGTTGGTCAAGTGCATGAGGGAATGTGGTTTGACGCTAATTTAAACAGAATTTCAGTTACAGCAAAACTCTGTAGTGATTCTAGGCTTAAGGTTTACTCCAAGTAAAATTGGAAAGATATATCTATTGTCGTTGTTTATTTATAAAATAAATATAACAACACGGACAGAGTGGGTGGGGATTTGATCCTTCAACCGACGTCCTGGGTCGACTGCCGATGCCAGCGGACACCCTGGTCAACTGGTCTATCGCATTTATTTGGCATTGTGTATATCATTATTCGTGCGATATCATATCCGCAATACCAGGAACCCGATGTTCACTTTGCTCAAGCGGATTTTAGTCCTGGAGATCAAATGGATAACCACTAGTCTGCCCATACCATCCGTCTGTTCTATAGATGTGGATCCAGAGAAATACTATTGATTAGGATCTAGCTGATCCTGCCCCCACTAAGGGAGGCAATGTAGAATTATGGCGCTTTACAGCACGTATAAGAATCACTGAATCTGTTAAATAGACACGTGTCGTGCAATTTTCGGAAAATGCAATATCATTAATTTTTAGCGCATGCACAGACGGCGTCATGTTCAGAATTAAAGGGAAGATGTCTCCCAAACGCCTCAGACATCCTCTGTGACGGCACACGTGACTACGACAACCGAGGATGTTCCTCAGAAGACTATTGCTGTGTACCTCACAAAACTAGTAAGTGATTATCTCTTGTTGGGTTTGGGGTAGCCTAGTGGTTAAAGCGTTCGCTCGTAACGCCGAAGGCCCGGGTTCGATTCCCCATATGTATACAATGTGTGAAGCCCATTTCTGGTGTCCCCCGCTGTGATATTGCTGGAATATTGCAAAAAGCGGCGTAAATCTAAAACTCACTCACTCACTCTTGTTAGATGTAAACGGCGCGGCGGGGTAACCTAGTGGTTAAGGCGTTCCATCGTCGCGCCGAAGACCCGGGTTTGATTCCCCCCATGGGCACAATGTGTGAAGCCCAATTCTGGTGTTACCCGCCGTGATATTGCTGGAACATTGCTGATAGCAACGTAAAACTAAACTCACTCACTCACTGTTAGATGAAAACATGAGACGGTCCCTTTAAAATCAGCAATACCTGCAGATCACACAATACGTGACACGTAATATAGTGTAAACCAATCAGACCTGAGTATGATGCACGTCAGTCTCGTGTTGTCTTTTGTCCTGTGTTCCGCCCGGAGAGCGGAAGGTCGCGGGTTCGATCCCCGACCGCGTCATACCAAAAGACGTTAAAATGTGGTACTTGTTGGTCCCTGCCTGGCGCTCGGCATTAATGGGTACAACAAGGACTGGTCGGCTCGGAGTCAGTATAATGTGTCTGAGTGGGGTATTCATGCTTCACTGCGGCATGGTATCTCAGTGGGCTAGCACTATAAAACCAGCTTCAGTCTGGGCTAGTACAAGCAGCCGCACATACACATACACACGCATGCATGTCGTCATATGAGCGAAATGTTCTCAAGCACGAAGTTAAACCCCATTTCACCTCACCTCACCTCACCTCACCTCACCTCACCTCACCTCACCTCACCTTCTGTCCTGTGTTGTCGTGGAGAATAAATGTGTGACAGCCTACTGCATTTATTTTGTTTGTTTGTTGTTTAACCCCGCACTCAGCAATATTCCAGCTATATTGCGGCGGTCTGTAAACAATCGAGTCTGGACCAGACAATTTTGTGATCAACAGCATGAACATCGATCAACGTAACTGGGAAACGATGACATGTATCGGGACATGTGTCGACGAAGTCAGCGAGACTGACAACCCGATTCTTTCCGTTAGTCGCTTCTAACGATAAGTGTGGGTTGCTGAAAACCAATTCGTGTATTGTTACCCCACACATTCCAGATTCCAGATCGTGTTTCATTCACTCACTCGTCCTGCCCAGTTAGACACTCACCCAGTCAATCATTCACCCCCTCACCCTGCCCAGTTAGACACTCACCCAGTCAATTATTCACCACCTCATCCTGCCCACTTAGACACTCACCCAGTCAATCATTCACACCCTCATCCTGCCCAGTTAGACACTCGCCCAGTCAATTATTCACCACCTCATCCTGCCCAGTTAGACACTCACCCAGTCAATCATTCACCCCCTCATCCTGCCCAGTTAGACACTCACCCAGTCAATCATTCACACCCTCATCCTGCCCAGTTATACACTCGCCCAGTCAATTATTCACCCCTCATCCTGCCCAGTTAGACACTCGCCCAGTCAAATCATTCACCCTCATCATCCTGCCCAGTTAGACACTCACCCAGTCAATCATTCACCCCTCATCCTGCCCAGTTAGACTCTCTCACCCAGTCAATCATTCACCCCCTCATCCTGCCCAGTTAGACACTCTCCCAGTCAATCATTCACCCCCACATCCTGTCCAGTTAGACACTCTCGCCCAGTCAATCATTCACCCCTCACCCTGCCCAGTTAGACGCTCACCCAGTCAATCATTCACCCCCACATCCTGCCCAGTTAGACACTCGCCCAGTCAATCATTCACACCCTCATCCTGCCCAGTTAGACTCTCACCCAGTCAATCACTCACCCCTCATCCTGCCCAGTTAGACACTCGCCCAGTCAATCATTCACCCCCACATCCTGCCCAGTTAGACACTCACCCAGTCAATCATTCACCCCTCATCCTGCCCAGTTAGACTCTCACCCAGTCAATCATTCACCCCCTCATCCTGCCCAGTTAGACACTCGCCCAGTCAATCAATCATTCACCCCCATCCATCCTGCCCAGTTAGACACTCGCCCAGTCAATCATTCACCCCCTCATCCTGCCCAGTTAGACACTCATCCAGTCCAGTTATTCACCTCCTCATCCTGCCAATCATTAGACTCCTCGCCCAGTCAATCATTCACCCCTCATGCCTGCCCAGTTAGACCCTCGCCCCAGTCAATCATTCACCCCCTCATCCTGCCCAGTTAGACACTCCACCCAGTCAATCATTCACCCCCCTCATCCTGCCCAGTTAGACACTCTTCACCCAGTCAATCATTCACCTCATCACCCCTCATCCTGCCCAGTTAGACACTCACCCAGTCAATCATTCACCCCTCATCCTGCCCAGTTAGACACTCACCCAGTCAATCATTCACTCCCTCATCCTGCCCAGTTAGACACTCATCCAGTCAATCATTCACCTCTTCATCCTGCCCAGTTAGACACTCCTACCCCCAGTCAATCATTCACCCTCATCCTGCCCAGTTAGACACTCGCCCAGTCAATCATTCACCCCTCATCCTGCCTTGGGTAGTTAGACACTCACCCAGTCAATCATTCACCCCTCATCCTGCCCAGTTAGACACTCTCACCCAGTCAATCATTCACCCCCTCATCCTGCCCCAGTTAGACACTCACCCAGTCAATCATTCACCCCTCATCCTGCCCAGTTAGACACTCACCCAGTCAATCATTCACCCTCATCCTGCCCAGTTAGACACTCACCCAGCCAGTCAATCATTCACCCTCATCCTGCCCAGTTAGACTCACCCAGTCAATCATTCACTCCTCATCCTGCCCAGTTAGACACTCACCCAGTCAATCATTCCATCACCCTCATCCTGCCCAGTTAGACACTTCGCCCAGTAAATCATTCACACCCTCATCTTGCCCAGTTAGACACTCTCTGCCCAGTAAATCATTCACCCCCCTCATCCTGCCCAGTTAGACACTCTCCAGTCAGTCAATCATTCACCCCTCATCATCCTGCCCAGTTAGACACTTCGCCCAGTCAATCATTCACCCCTCATCCTGCCCAGTTAGGACCTCGCCCAGTCAATCATTCACCCCCATCATCCTGCCCAGTTAGACACTTTGCCCAGTCAATCCATTCACCCCTCATCCTGCCCAGTTAGACCCTCACCCAGTCAATCATTCACCCCCTCATCCTGCCCAGTTAGACACTCTCGCCCAGTCAATCATTCACCCCTCATCCTGCCTTTAGTTAGACACTCACCCAGTCAATCATTCACCCTCATCCTGCCCAGTTAGACACTCACCCAGTCAATCATTCACCCCCTCATCCTGCCCAGTTAGACACTCTCCATCACCCAGTCAATCATTCACCCCACTCATCCTGCCCAGTTAGACACTCACCCAGTCAATCATTCACCCTCATCCTGCCCAGTTAGACACTCTCACCCAGTCAATCATTCACCCCATCATCCTGCCCAGTTAGACACTCACCCAGTCAATCATTCACCCTCATCCTGCCCAGTTAGACACTCACCCAGTCAATCATTCACCCTCATCATCCTGCCCAGTTAGACACTCGCCCAGTCAATCATTCACCCCTCATCCTGCCCAGTTAGACACTCTCTCGCCCAGTCAATCATTCACCCCCTCATCCTGCCCAGTTAGACTCTCTCGCCCAGTCAATCATTCACCCTCATCCTGCCCAGTTAGACACTCACCCAGTCAATCATTCACACCCCTCATCCTGCCCAGTTAGACACTCTGCCCAGTCAATCATTCACCCCTCATCCTGCCCAGTTAGACACCCTCACCCAGTCAATCATTCACACCCTCATCCTGCCCAGTTAGACACTCTCGCCCAGTCAATCATTCACCCCCTCATCCTGCCCAGTTAGACACTCACCCAGTCAATCATTCACCCCTCATCCTGCCCAGTTAGACACTCACCCAGTCAATCATTCACCCCCTCATCCTGCCCAGTTAGACACTCTCTGCCCAGTCAATCATCCTCACCCCAATCATCCTCCTGCCCAGTTAGACACTCGCCCAGTCAAATCATTCACCTCATCATCCTGCCCAGTTAGACACCTCACCCAGTCAATCATTCACCCCTCATCCTGCCCAGTTAGACACTCTCTGCCCAGTCAATCATTCACACCCTCATCCTGCCCAGTTAGACTCTCACCCAGTCAATCATTCACCCCTCATCCTGCCCAGTTAGACTCACACAGTCAATCATTCACCCCTCATCCTGCCCAGTTAGACACTCACCCAGTCAATCATTCACCCCTCATCCTGCCCAGTTAGACACTCGCCCAGTCAATCATTCACCCCCTCATCCTGCCCAGTTAGACTCTCACCCAGTCAATCATTCACCCCCTCATCCTGCCCAGTTAGACACTCACCCAGTCAATCATTCACCCCCACATCCTGCCCAGTTAGACACTCACCCAGTCAATCATTCACCCTCATCATCCTGCCCAGTTAGACCCTCGCCCAGTCAATCATTCACCCCTCATCCTGCCCAGTTAGACACTCGCCCAGTCAATCATTCACCCCTCATCCTGCCCAGTTAGACACTCGCCCAGTCAATCATTCACCCCCTCATCCTGCCCAGTTAGACTCTCACCCAGTCAATCATTCACCCCCATCATCCTGCCCAGTTAGACACTCGCCCAGTCAATCATTCACCCCCATCATCCTGCCCAGTTAGACACTCACCCAGTCAATCATTCACCCCCACATCCTGCCCAGTTAGACACTCGCCCAGTCAATCATTCACCCCCTCATCCTGCCCAGTTAGACACTCGCCCAGTCAATCATTCACCCCCTCATCCTGCCCAGTTAGACACTCACCCAGTCAATCATTCACCCCCTCATCCTGCCCAGTTAGACACTCGCCCAGTCAATCATTCACCCCTCATCCTGCCCAGTTAGACACTCACCCAGTCAATCATTCACCCCTCATCCTGCCCAGTTAGACACTCGCCCAGTCAATCATTCACCCCTCATCCTGCCCAGTTAGACACTCTGCCCAGTCAATCATTCACCCCCCCTCATCCTGCCCAGTTAGACACTCACCCAGTCAATCATTCACCTCATCATCCTGCCCAGTTAGACACTCTCGCCCAGTCAATCATTCACCCCCTCATCCTGCCCAGTTAGACACTCACCCCAGTCAATCATTCACTCCTCATCCTGCCCAGTTAGACACTCAGTATCCACCCAGTCAATCCTTCACCCTCTCATCCTGCCCAGTTAGACACTCGCCCAGTCAATCATTCACCCCTCATCCTGCCCAGTTAGACACTCGCACCCAGTCAATCATTCACCCCTCATCCTGCCCAGTGCCTGCTCCCCAGTTCATTCACCTCTCACCCAGTCAATCATTCAATCACCCCCTCATCCTGCCCAGTTAGACACTCACCCAGTCAATCATTCACCCCTCATCCTGCCCAGTTAGACACTCACCCAGTCAATCATTCACCCCCTCATCCTGCCCAGTTAGACACTCACCCAGTCAATCATTCACCCCCTCATCCTGCCCAGTTAGACACTCGCCCAGTCAATCATTCACCCCTCATCCTGCCCAGTTAGACACTCCTTGCCCAGTCAATCATTCCCCCCTCATCCTGCCCAGTTAGACACTCTGCCCAGTCAATCATTCACCCTCATCCTGCCCAGTTAGACACTCACCCAGTCAATTATTCACCCCCTCATCCTGCCCAGTTAGACACTCGCCCAGTAAATCATTCACCTCATCATCCTGCCCAGTTAGACACTCACCCAGTCAATCATTCACCCCTCATCCTGCCCAGTTAGACACTCGCCCAGTCAATCATTCACCCCTCATCCTGCCCAGTTAGACTCTCACCCAGTCAATCATTCACCCCCTCATCCTGCCCAGTTAGACACTCACCCAGTCAATCATTCACCCCTCATCCTGCCCAGTTAGACACTCGCCCAGTCAATCATTCACCCCCTCATCCTGCCCAGTTAGACACTCACCCAGTCAATCATTCACCCCTCATCCTGCCCAGTTAGACACTCACCCAGTCAATCATTCACCCCCTCATCCTGCCCAGTTAGACACTCTCGCCCAGTCAATCATTCACCCCTCATCCTGCCCAGTTAGACACTCACCCAGTCAATCATTCACCCCATCATCCTGCCCAGTTAGACACTCACCCAGTCAATCATTCACCCCTCATCCTGCCCAGTTAGACACTCTCCCCAGTCAATCATTCACCCCTCATCCTGCCCAGTTAGACACTCGCCCAGTCAATCATTCACCCCTCATCCTGCCCAGTTAGACACTCACCCAGTCAATCATTCACCCCTCATCCTGCCCAGTTAGACTCTCACCCAGTCAATCATTCACCCCTCATCCTGCCTGCCAGTTAGACACTCACCCAGTCAATCATTCACCCACCTCATCCTGCCCCAGTTAGACACTCACCCAGTCAATCATTCACCCCTCATCCTGCCCAGTTAGACACTCGCCCAGTCAATCATTCACCCCCTCATCCTGCCCAGTTAGACTCTCACCCCCAGTCAATCATTCACCCCCTCATCATCCTGCCCAGTTAGACACTCACCCAGTCAATCATTCACCCCTCATCCTGCCCAGTTAGACACTCACCCAGTCAATCATTCACCCCCTCATCCTGCCCAGTTAGACACTCACCCAGTCAATCATTCACCCCTCTCATCCTGCCCAGTTAGACACTCACCCAGTCAATCATTCACCCCTCATCCTGCCCAGTTAGACACTCACCCAGTCAATCATTCACCCCTCATCCTGCCCAGTTAGACACTCGCCCAGTCAATCATTCACCCCTCATCCTGCCCAGTTAGACACTCACCCAGTCAATCATTCACCCCTCAGTCATCATCCTGCCCAGTTAGACACTCTCGCCCAGTCAATCATTCACCCCCATCCTGCCCAGTTAGACACTCACCCAGTCAATCATTCACCCCTCATCCTGCCCAGTTAGACACTCACCCAGTCAATCATTCACCCCTCATCCTGCCCAGTTAGACACTCGCCCAGTCAATCATTCACCCCATCATCCTGCCCAGTTAGACACTCGCCCAGTCAATCATTCACCCCTCATCCTCCTGCCCAGTTAGACACTCTCGCCCAGTCAATCATTCACCCCCTCATCCTGCCCAGTTAGACACTCTCACCCAGTCAATCATTCACCCCTCATCCTGCCCAGTTAGACACTCACCCAGTCAATCATTCACCCCTCATCCTGCCCAGTTAGACACTCAGCCCAGTCAATCATTCACCCCTCATCCTGCCCAGTTAGACACTCGCCCAGTCAATCATTCACCTCATCCTCCCAGTTAGACCTGCCCAGTTAGACACCCTCATCCTGCCAGTCAATCATTCACCCCTCATCCTGCCCAGTTAGACACTCTCACCCAGTCAATCATTCACCCCTCATCCTGCCCAGTTAGACTCTCACCCAGTCAATCATTCACCCCCTCATCCTGCCCAGTTAGACACTCGCCCAGTCAATCATTCACCCCATCATCCTGCCCAGTTAGACACTCGCCCAGTCAATCATTCACCCCTCATCCTGCCCAGTTAGACACTCACCCAGTCAATCATTCACCCCCTCATCCTGCCCAGTTAGACACTCGCCCAGTCAATCATTCACCCCCTCATCCTGCCCAGTTAGACACTCGCCCAGTCAATCATTCACCCCTCATCCTGCCCAGTTAGACTCACCCAGTCAATCATTCACCCCTCATCCTGCCCAGTTAGACACTCAGCCCAGTCAATCATTCACCCCTCATCCTGCCCAGTTAGACACTCACCCAGTCAATCATTCACCCCTCATCCTGCCCAGTTAGACACTCACCCAGTCAATCATTCACCCCCTCATCCTGCCCAGTTAGACACTCACCCAGTCAATCATTCACCCCCTCATCCTGCCCAGTTCGACACTCACCCAGTCAATCATTCACCCCCCTCACTTTGCCCTGTTAGACACTCACCCACTGTTACAGAATCCTGCGCATCACTCGGGGGTCACTGCCTTAATGTCAAGTCGGCCCTGGTATGTGGAGGGGAGGAGATTCAGGGGACCCCGGACTGCGGTCAACAAGCCCAGGGCAACTACTGTTGTGTGCGCAAGGACGCTCAAGGTTGGCATATTTGACTCCATTCGAAAGGTTAAAATCGCGAGAATGTCACTTCGAGTATTCCATAAGAAACAGTGTACATAGAATTGTCATTACTATCTTGTTTCACTCACACATTTTGACAAACAAAATGGTTAAGTTTCAGTGACAATGGGCCGACATCGCAAATCCATAAACCCTCAATGGCTGAAATTCTGCATGGTTGCTTTAACGCTCAGTCTGTTCCTAAATGTAATCAACGACAAGAGACTGTCTCCAAAAACATTTAAGACTCAAAAGTTATCATCAAACAAGCATATACCATTATATTACCTTTTAGAAATTAAAGATAAATTTGTGATCCATATCGCCATGAATGTTGAAACCCCGTTAATCCAGACTATACTGTCTGCAGTGAAATCTCCCGGATTTCCAGTATCTAACGGCGCCATCCGGGGCCCAGTCATCCAGTGTATTATGTCTTCATTCATAGTTTAAATAGCTGTTTTCCATCATGTTTTCTTTTATTTGTTCGGACGTGACGTCATCATTTCCAACTCTCTCTCTCTCTCCGTATTAAGTTATTAACTGTCTTTTCGACGTTCCCAAAAATGTTGGTATCTCCCTTTATTAAATATTTTAGAGTTACCTCCCCTAAACGTTGTCTTCTTCCGGTGAGTATTTTCATCAAAATGGCGGAGAAAAGTGACGTTAACATTGTTGAATGTGATGTAATAGTTGATGCAATGAACATGAATAAACGTAGAACATACTTCAGAGACAGATACTAGAAGGTAACAGATAGAAGGTAACAGATACCAGAAGGTAACAGATAGAAGGTAACAGATACCAGAAGGTAACAGGAGTTAAAGATCAACTTATAGCCCGTGCCATAGGTGCACATGCACTGAATTTACAGACAAATACTTGTGCACTTGGACAATCTAACGCTATTGGTACCCTCCTAACTTAGGACTGAATGTCTGTCGTTATTGTTTAGTTGTTTGACTCATGTTTAACACCAGCCAGCAATATTCCAGCTATAAGTCAGGGTCTGTAAATGTTTGAACCCAAAGTCTAGTGATTGATAGCATGAGCGTCGATCTGAGCAACTGGCATAGGAGTGAGTGAGTGAGTGAGTTGGGTTTTACGCCGCTTTTAGCAATAGTTCAGCAACATCACAGCGGGGGGACATCATAAATGGGCTTCACACATTGTACCCATATGGGGAATCGAACTCGGGTCTTTAGAGTGACGAGCCAACGCTTTAACCACTAGGCTACCCCACCGCCCCACTGGCATAGGAGGTCAGCGAGATGGGTTGTTACTCGCTCCTTACGACAATCGTAATATGCTGAAGATCAATTTTAAACAGTACCAAACATATTCCTGTCGCTCATAAAAGTATTTTGTAATACGGAAGAGTTTTCAAGCGCCAAGGGTTCAAATTACAGCTACGGCCACCAATTGGCCAAGGGTATTTCAGTCGTCAGAAGACATATTATTTTTTATTTCTGTGAATATTTTTACATACGATGAAGATAACTAGATCTACCATTTCTGATATGCATGCAACAGTATGAAGATCATGACATTTAGTAAACATTGATATTTTCACACAAATACATTAATCCGACATTTTCGTTAATCCGACATATTTCTCTGCAACCACGAGTGTCGGATTAACGAGAGTTGACTGTAATACAATAGGTTCTCGAAGGAGTGGCTACATCTACTGATAACTCACTCCCCCTGTATTCCCCCTACAGATCCACCTATGGAAGCCTGTGAGAGAATGGGGGGCAGATGCCAATCTCTGCTGTCGGCCCTGGCTTGTGGCGGCAACAGGGACTCCAGTCAGTGCGGCGACAGCACCTTCACCTTCTGCTGTTACCCTCCAGGAAATTAAATAAAATCTCCTCATACATTAACATTTTACGTGCGCTTTGATGGATCAGTTGAATGTTTGACGTTAAACGCCACACAATATTCTAGCAAGAAGGCATGTTCAGATCTGGGACAAGAAGATAACTGATGAACTGCGAGCGGTCTTTCTAACGGGTTGACCAGAGTCTTCAGTACACCATAATGCCTCCGCTCCTTTGTCCAGTATACACATTTCATTAGCCATAAATCTCGCATCCTGGCCTTTTTGCATTCTCGTGCGCTTTATAGCCCTGTTTGTGTAAAGCCACCAACGCGAGAATGCAACGTTTGGATGTAAAATCTCCCAAGTTGCCGCAAATATTATACCAAATAGTGAGAAGTTGACGACGGCCCTATAGCCATGCTTCTTTCATGGTCGTCGTTTTGCAGTATCATAATTACAGCTTGACTTGAAAATACTGTCATTTGCATTTTCCTATTTTCCTGCTTTCCTATATCCTTTCGAATGTATACTCATGCCAATAATGGTTGTCAAACCCCTCCCTCCCAACCCCCAAACACCTCACACCCCCACCCACACCCTCTCCAATTAAATTTTTTTAAGGGGGTGACAACCATTATTGGCATGAGTATACTTTGAATTAAAATCCTTAACATGTTCACCATAATCTACCAAATAAAACCTGGAGTGAACATATTAACATAGGAGGAATCTGGAATAGCACAGCATCAAGTTAGTAGGTTTCCTTATGACGCAATACGGTATGATACATAGTCAGCAAATTCACTACATCAAACTTAACATAGCCCAGCATCATTAGCTAGATGGTTGGAACAGTTGTGTTCTCAGTGGTGAACCCGGCCATACCGTGGCGAGTGAGTGAGCTTGGTTTTACGCCACTTTTAGCAGTATTCCAGCAATATCACGGCGGGGGACACTTGATATGGGCTTCACACAATGTACCCATGTTGGGAATCGAACCCGGGTCTTCGGCGTGACGAGCGAACGCTTTAACCACTAGGCTACGCCATCGCCCCCATCCGCGGCGAGAACAATGAACCGACAACAGTGGGTAGTCAAACACACGTTTCATTAGTGAAGTCTGCATTTTTGCCATGTTTTCGGTATTCACAATACTGTCAGTTAAATGTATAAAGTCACAGGTTATATTGATCAGGATCGAAAACTGTGACGGAATTTGAATTTTCCAAATGGTTACCCTCGGTATAAACACATCACAAAACACAAAAGAGTAGAAAAGAAATATTACCTGACTCGACTCCTAACGGCTCATGACGGTTTCTGACTCGACTCCTCATCCGGCTTCTGACACACCTTCTGTCCCGGCTTCTGACCCAGCTCCTGGCTCGTCTTCTGAATGGGATCCTAAGTCGGCGTATGAATCGACTCCTAACTGGACTCCTAACGGCTTCTGATCCAGTTTCTGTCCCGGCTTCTGACCCGACTCCTGACCCGTCTCCTTACTCGGCCTCTAACACGACGCATGACTCGGCTTCTACCCCGACTCCTTACTCGGCTTCTGACCCGACTCCTTACTCGGCCTCTGACCCGACTCCTTACTCGGCCTCTGACCCGACTCCTTACTCGGCTTCTGACCCGACTCCTTACTCGGCCTCTGACCCGACTCCTTACTCGGCCTCGGACCCGACTCCTTAACTCGGCTTCTGTCCCGGCTCCTTAACTCGGCTTCTGTCCCGGCTCCTTCCTCGGCTTCTGTCCCGGCTCCTGGCCCGACCCCTTACTCGGCTTCTGACCCGACTCCTTAACTCGGCTTCTGTCCCGGCTTCTGAGTCGGCTTCTGACCTGGCTTCTGTCCCGGAAGATCGGCTTCTGACCCGACTCCTGACTCGGCGTTTGATCCAACCTCTAACTCAGCATGAGACTCGGCTCCTCACTTGACTATTAACGGCTTCTGATCTGGCTTCTGTACGGGCTCCAGACTCGACTCTCTGACCTCTGACTAGGCTCCTCACCGGCTCCTGACTCGGCTTCTGAATGTGACCCGACTCCTCAGTCGGTTTCTGCATCGGCTTCTGACCCAACTCCTAAGACGACACCTTACGGCTTCTGATCTGGCTTCTGCCCGGCTCCTGACTGTGCTCTGGCCCTGTACTGGCATAATGTGTGCGTTTTGCCAGATATTGTACTTCTCGGAATAGGGTTGACAGACATGACAAACAGCTCTGTGAATTTCAGACTTTGCTGCTGTCATGGTTTCTGGCGGTTTGCGTCTCGGTAACTGACGGATCCTATCTGACAATAAACCAACAAATCACAAATACATGTATTATATATCAATTTGGTTCGCAATGTACTCCCAGCCCGAAGAAGCGGCCGTAAAATATCTCAGTGGGATACGTCATGGCTGTAATATTTCTTCGCTAAACTTCGCACGTTGCTACGTGGGCCAGTGGTCTCACGAGTAAACATAAGGCTGATCACCTGCTTGTAGATAACACCTGAACTAGATGTGCTCTCTCTAGATGTCACCGGCCAAGTAATCATACTTGTATCTCATAACCTCAAAAGGTGTGTTTAACTAAACCAGTCAAATCTGCCAAACTTCATTTACAGAATCTAAATGTGATTACTGACTTATTGTAAGATTGACAGACAGACAGACATTTTATTTCAGTAATGTAGGCCATTGGCCCATAATACAAAAATAATGCAAGTATAAATTACACATACATGCTAGATGAAGGACAACGATTGAAATACAAGGTCAGTTGTTTGTAATGGTGGGTTTATTTCTTAGTTTTAATACAGCAGAGAGGATTGTACTTAATGTTTTAGATAACTTATGTTGTTGCTGGTAATTATACGCGCAAAGGTTTCAATTGTTGGAGGGTAGGTGTGTTGGGTCGTGAAACACGTATTTGTTATTTCAGAATATTTACCACAGGTAGATAGGACATGGAGCTCGTCTTCAACATAGTTAAGGCCAACAGAGTGGCAGTAGACGCAGAGACGTTGATCATAGGGTGTATTTGTGTGGCGGCCGGTTTCGACTGCTAGTCTAAAGTTGTTACAGCGGAACATGGTTATAACTTTCCGTTGGTATGGTAGCAGATCACTGGACAAGTAGATTTAAATTATGAATAATATTTATATAAAGCGTCAAGTGAGGAGCGCCAATTTGAAGGAAGCAGTCATACAATCGCTGCTTGAAGTAGATATAAATGTTTTAATGCGGCCAATTTCATGCGCGATTTATACAAATCCAAAACCATATTGAAAAAGGATTAGTCTTATGTGTGATGTCTAGGTAGATTTATTATTATCATCAAGAGATTTGAGCATTTGGTAGGCTTGATAAGGAAGTGTATGGTGTTGTAGCTGCATCAGTCTGCGCCAGTACTTTACTGATCTAGAGGTATAATGATATTGCAGTGACAGTCTGCCACACTCTCCAAGCACAATACTTGCTGACTTTGACAAAAGTTTTACAGAACTTAAAATGCACAGTTTCAATTTCTTTGCAATAAGTAGTTCCCCAAGTCTCTGATCCATAACACAGAATAGGTGTAATCATGGAGTTAAATATCTTTAAAATGTCCTTTTGATTAATACATCCAAAATGTTGTTGGTAATTATAGATGGAGAATATAGCTTTACTTGCTTCAGCTGCTATGATTTATTAGGACATTTTAGGAGTGAACACAATCCCAAGATATCTGTCCATGTTAACAAATTCTATTTGTTCACCATTTAAAAAAACTTTCTCATAAGAGCGGAGAGGACCACTATTTCTAAAAACAATAATTTGGTTTTGTTCAGATTGACATTCATTCCTGTCTCTGCACAGAACTTATCAACAATATTCATTTTCTTTTGAGTGAGTGAGTGAGTTTAGTTTTACGCCGCACTCAGCAATATTCCAGCTATATGGCGGCAGTCTGTAAATAATCGAGCCTGGACCAGACAATCCAGTGATCAACAGCATGAGCATCGATCTGCGCAATTGGGAACCGATGACATGTGTCAACCAAGTCAGCGAGCCTGACCACCCGATCCCGCATTTTCTTTTGAAGCTGTGAAGCAGTGTCTGATACAGTTGAAACATCATCAGTAAATAATAGGGAAAATACATCAGAATATGAGTTGATATAAAGACACCTCTTCCACCTTCTTCCTCCAACATTTGAGCAAGTTTGTTTATGAATATAATATAAATCTGCAGACTCAGAGTGCATCCTTGGCGGGTACCAATATTACATTTGAAATAGGGTGAAAAGCCTGAATCAGTTCTTACACACGCACACAGTGTAGAATACATGTTGATAATAAACTTTCGAAATTTTCCCTTTACACCCTTTTCTATCAAAATTTCGAAAAGTATTTTGTGAGTGATAGAGTCGAACGCCTTGGAAAGGTCATCAAACAGGCAATAGAACCTTCCAGTTATTTAAGTTTCAACGATTTGTCTGTCAGGAACAAAATATGTAAAAGTGAGCAAGGTTAGTTTTACGCCGCTTATAGCAATATTTCAGCAATATCACGGCTGGGGACACCAGAAATGGGCTTGACACATAGAAATATGTGAGAGGATATGTATAACAGGTATGAGAAAAGGAACATACAAAGTTAATTAGTTAGTTGTTGTATTTAACGTCGCACGCAAAACTAAGGTATTTCGGCGACAGAAAAAATATGGAAAGCTTAACGAATTTGCACTATATTGCTAACGCAGTACATATACTGAAATTGGAACGATTCAGAGCAGATAAGCATGGCCCCTGTGCAGTGATTAAATAATAATTATGTGTGTATATATATATAATGATTGCTCATTGTTCTATATTGTCAGTATTTCCCCGATAATGTTCTAGTCAAATTCAAATCCAAGATTCTCATCAAAGGCATAGTTAATGTTGTATTTACCATTGTACATACTGTTAATAGGAGACGCAGGAGTAGAGCACTCGGAAAACATTTGATCACTGTCATCCTTGCTGAATGGAACAGTCAGACATGCCCCTCTTTGTTATTTCTACATAACAATACTTCCACAATGTGGACATTTCCGCTCCCAGCTGATAGGGTGGCCGTGTAAATGTGTATTCAATGTACAGCCTAAAGAGGTAATGTACTGCCGGTTTGTACTGACGCACTCGGTATACAGCCTAACTCCAGTGGTTGCTGGTCTTATATTTACATGATACTTGTCACATAACCAAACTTTAGCACCTACATTAAATTAACCAATCATTGATTTTGTCCGGGTACACCTGGAAATGTATTCTGTTCTTTGAGGAAGGAAACTTTCTGTATAGTGTAGGTATGGCAGTAAGTATGTAATATTTGCGTTGTTACATATGCTATCAGTGAGTACACACTGCCTTGATGTGTGCCGTTGATAAATATATATACTGGGGGATAACATAAGGGATCACAAGAAAGCACAAGTGTTCCTTTATTTTTTCCAGGTTTCTTCACATGTTGTGCGATACAAAGCTTGTGAAGAAACCTGGAAAAAATAAAGGAACACTTTTGCTTTCATGTGATCCCTTATTTTTTTCCCTCAGTATACTTATGAAACTCAAGTCAGTATAAAAAAGTACTAACAGTTGATGTATATGATGTGATGCATGAATTACCAACGCATTTGAAATTACGTGTTTTTGTGGGTAGTGTGTCCGTTCTTCGCGATGGAAGGGTTTGGTTATCCTGGAATATATACATTTTTGACAGGGCTGAACTCGTGTTGGGCGGCTAAATAAGATCGGAGGCAATACAACAGTGTGCCTGTTATACCCTGTGTTAGCTCAATAGGGAGGGAAACAAGCAGTGACAGCGTGCATAAGATGTTTTTCACTTATGTGATCAACTTAAGTCACAACTATGATCAACTATAATTATTGTGCTGACTAACCAGTCAGAGGAATTAGGGAGAATCTGGATCCGACAACAGTAATTAGGGAGAATTTGAATCCGACCCCAATAATAAGGAAGAATCTGAATCCGACCCCAATAATTTGAAAGAATCTGAATCTAACCCCTATAATTTGAAAGAGTCTGGATCTGACCAAAATAATTTAAAAGAATCTGAATCTAACCCCTATAATATGAAAGAATCTGGATCTGACCTCAATAATTTAAAAGAATCTGAATCTAACACCTATTTTTTTTAAAGAGTCTGGATCTGACCCCAATAATTAGGGAGAATCTGGATCCGACACTAGTATTTAGGGAGACGACTACATGACTATTTTACCTTAACAAAACGATTTTTACCTAATTGATTAATTATACTACTGTCTTTTTCATTAAGTCTTTTACTCTTCAAATGGTGTGTTCTCTTGTCTGTAATGATGAATGTAGGTAAAATGTTTCCCATCGCATTGTAGTCGGAGAGGTATTTATATAGGCTTATAGCCTGTTTACCAATCCGTTCATTTAATATTGAATAAATATTGTTTAAAACATTTAGGGAGACTCTGAATCCGACCCCAATAATTTGAAAGAGTGTGGATCCGACCCAAATAATTTGGGAGAATGTGAATCCGACCCCAATAATTTGAAAGAGTGTGGATCCGACCCAAATAATTTGGGAGAATGTGAATCCGACCCCAATAATTTGAAAGAGTGTGGATCCGACCCCAATAATTTGGGAGAATGTGAATCCGACCCCAATAATTTGAAAGAGTGTGGATCCGACCCAAATAATTTGGGAGAATGTGAATCCGACCCCAATAATTTGAAAGAGTGTGGATCCGACCCCAATAATTTGGGAGAATGTGAATCCGACCCCAATAATTTGAAAGAGTGTGGATCCGACCCCAATAATTTGGGAGAATGTGAATATGACCCCCCCAAATTAGGGAGAATATGAATCCGATCCCCAAAATATAAGCTGCTTCCATGATTAAGGGATTATGTAACACCTGGTGCTGTCGATTCAAAGATTATTTGTAGTTCCTGTCGGCCACCGTGCAGCTAAACGATGTCGTAAAACAACGTTGTCATCAAAGTTAATACCCATAATAGTTTGTTGTTAGGAAATAATCCAGGTAATGTTTGTCATGGTGAATTTAATAGGTGTTTGTTCATGCTTTCCTTGATGCAATATGTATAGTTTCATTATTTGAGTGGTTTGAACAAGGTAATTGAGTTTACGTTTATATTATCGTTGATTGAATTGGCGAATCACTGTTGTATCAGAGGCCCGACTATAGATGTAGTAATGTGTTGATAATGAACACAGGCAGTCCTCTCACAGGGAATAATTGGTGAATAATCGTCTATATGCCTACATTTCCCATTAATGCCTTAAAGCTTGGACCGTGACAAGTTTTTAATCAAATGGATTCGTATACCCTATAGATTATACTCGTTGCGGGCTTTACATTAAATATTGCAACTCAAACAGACACAGATAAAGAGGTTTATTTGGATACTCCCTCATCGCTTTATCAATACTGTGTTGGGGGGCTGTAACCTGAGATTGAAGAGCCCTAAACATGTGTACGTAATTATCAGCTGACAGCTCTGCTGGTAATTCGGAACATCCTGTAACATCCCTCGAATCTCTCGGTGCAGTCGGAGCGCCATGTCCGGACTATTCCACAACATAAAGGGTCGCAGGTTCAAGGTAGCCTTTGAAAATAATTCTAATAGGACGGAACATCCCCCAAACCACCAGGATGTAGTTGAGTGTTGTTGCAGTGACGCCTGGGTGGACTTCACTCAGACAACATCCCTACAAGGGCTGCGGTACATATGGATGCGAGAAACGATCCCTATCAGGAGGTGAGGAGTGTGGGCTTTATTCTCTAGTATACCTAGTAGCAACATTTCGGACGGCCGACATATAAAAATACGAAGAAGTTCTGTATGTTGCAATGGCTTTGTAGAAGTTTTGTAGAAAGAAGATCTTTTTAATTGTGATGTTGGACATTTTTGGCATCGACGATTGTGTTTTTGAAACTTTACCGTTTTGTTTCCGTTTAATCACAGTACTTACATTAAGTGACTGATGACAATGGTTAAGTTGATGGCGGATTGTTATGTAGACCAGTAGGATTACTGCAACATGTTTAGTAGGAAGGATATTTCTTAGTGTTAGATATAAATATTAGCTTAAACTAAAAAAATATTTTTCCTTCAAAGATTCTTGGCAATATTTAACGTTTAACAGCATTGGTTTTGTTAGTCAGAAATATGAGTGATATGTGCATTTCGTACATTCACTGAAAATGTTTTTGTAAAGGACGACAAGCATTTCTTGCACTTCAGTTTAGATTCAGATAGTGTATATTAATGCATGCGTTCTTTGTTTGTTTGAGAGATTACGATCTCTTATATATCGTTTCTCGGTGTTTTTGTTTCTCTATGATGAGATTCATCTTTCTTTCAACTCATTCAACATTTCTTCATTCAACTCATAGGCGTTTGCGCTGACAGATATCTAACAGTTTAGCGTGGGGAATGTTGTTTTACGCCGTATCAAGTAAAGTGTTCCCCCCAAATCTGTTTTATATTTTTCATACCATTTTTACAGTTGCACATGAGCTTGCATGATGCCAGTATCATAGTGTGTCATTTAGAAATGGAGCGAGTGAAAGTGGTTTCCATTCACTAATGTCACCGTGGGGGGGCTGTACATAATGAATATGGACCGGATCAATAATGGTTGAATGGTTCCCCAGGCTGTTGGGTCCGATGGCTGAACACGAGTACCTGGTACCCATTGTACAAGGATGTATTGGGGACATATCCCGCCCAACATCAGGGTGGAAGTATGGTTTTATGAGAAGTGTTCATAACGTATCCTTGGTATGCATTTTGTGTGGCTTTTTCTGCAAGGCGCCTGACAAATGTCAAAATCGTGACAATTGACAGGACAGCTTTCTTGTTGCTTTCGCGAAGCGTTCTTAATGAAAACACTGCATCGATGAATGAAGTTATGACATTCCACAGCTCACAACCATGTCAGTGTCAGGGAGGATGTCATGGGGTAACTAGCGCATAGACTGATAACTCTCCCTCTCCCACTGTCTCTCTCTCTCCCTCTCGCTCTCCTTCCCCTCTGTCTCGCGCTCCCCCTCTCTCTCTCCCTCCTCTCTGTCTCCCTCCCCCCACTCTCTCCTCCCCTCTCTCTCCCTCCCCTCTCTCTCCTCCTCTCTCCCTCCTCCTCTCTCTCTCTCTCTCTCTCTCTCTCTCTCTCTCTCTCTCCTCTCTCTCTCTCTCTCTCTCTCTCTCTCTCTCAGGACATGCTTGGATGTGATTCTCTCATCACTAGGAAGACACAATTGATGGCCCTAACATTCCTACAAATATTCATGTATGTATCTTCAATGGCCAATACGGCATCGTCGAATAATGACTTCTTCAAATAGGGACTGGTAACCCAAGTAGTCGTAAGTAATATCTGGTGTTATTGCTTATATCCTATGTTAAATTTGCAGTTAAAATATATGTTACAAAGGGATACTTCCTTCAAACATCTTGAAACAATCTCATGTTTATGTTTCTGTTAAGATCCTTTAGAAGTTCTCAACATTGTGTTTCAGCAAATGTTCGTTGTCTGGAATGCCAGTGTAATGATTTACCTTTCTAGAAAACTGATTGACTAGTTATAGCATCGAATGCAACTTTCAATAAGGTATAGGACCTTATTTGTGGACAAGCGTTTTCTTTCTTTATCATATTTATCACATATCACATATCATATATCACACATCATATATCACATATCACATAACACATAACACCTCACAAAGCCACCTTCGTGGGAAGGTCTCGCCTCGACCCTTGAGCTTGAGAATTATACTTTTATGTATATGCATATTATTATTGCTGGCTGCTGGCACCAGTCTATGGCGGATTGTGTTATTTGGATATAATATATATTGTACTTTCTCTCAGACTTTGCGGATAAGATTCTATTCCCCACAAAGTATACTAGAATCGGTACCCTATATTCCAGCTATATAGTGGCGGTCTGTAAATAATCGAGCCTGGACCAGTGATCAACAGCATGAGCATCGATCTGTGCAATTGGGAACCGATGACATGTGTCAACCAAGTCAGCGAGTCTGACCACCCGATCCCGTTAGTCGCCTCTTACGACAAGCAAAGGTTACCGAAGATCAATATTCTAACCCGGGTCTTCACGGGTCTGTAATCTTAGTTGTAACGTATGCTCAACATGTAAATTCTTCTGGTTCTCGACCGGGGCGGGGCGTTGGGGTAGCCTAGTGGTTAAAGCGTTAGCTTGTCAAGCCGAAGACCCGGGTTCGAATCCCAACATGGGTACAATGTGTGAAGCCCATTTCTGGTGTTCCCCGCCGTGATGTTGCTGGAATATTGCTTAAAGCGGCGTAAAACCAAACTCAGTCAGTCAGTCAGTCAGTCGACCGGGGCAGTGGTCTAGTGGTGAAGGCGTTGGCTCTTCACACCAAAGACCACGGTTCGATTCCCCACATAGGTACAATGTGTAAAGCCATTTTCTGGTGTCCCCCCACCGTGACACTATTGGAGTATTGCTAAACGTGGCGTAAAACTAAACTCACTCATTCACTCTTCTTCCAGACTGCTATGGCTTCTTCTAACAGTGACGTGTGTTACCGTCATGAGCTACCAGATTGTCGAACGCGTCATCTACTACTACAACCACCCTGTCACTGTCAACCTCAACGTCAAATACAACAAAACTCTCTTATTTCCTACGATCAGCATCTGCAACCAGAATACTTTCCGGTGGGTACATAGCGCAAGAGTTTTGTGCCATAGTTACGCCTTTTATTACTTTTTAAAATTATTTTATTATTTCAGTACCGTACTTCCCTTAAAAGAATGACGTGTGCAATTGCTGATGTAAATCAAACGCGTAATGACACTTGAATATATATTCTATCACGACAATGTGTGATACTCGATTCTCACCAACGCGTTCGGTATCTAACATTTAGCGGTCTCTATTAAAACAGTGCCAGCAAGGCAGCAGAGCTTGGATACTATGAATTTTTGACCGCCATGTTTACTGGAGGCAGAAGATTGTCTGTCCTTGACCTTGAGAGGAGAAACGCCACGAACATGACCTTGAGGCATCTGTACGCCAGCACAGCTCATGCAATGGAGGACATGATCGTCAGGTAATCGCATTTGCACACTTGCACCTGATTCGAACACGATTGGGGCGATTAGGATCTTTAATTTTTCAGACGCATACCATCGAGTCGATTATGCGGGTGGTGATTGCCTTCGACCCGCGACCTTCAATCTGCATGACCCCGTGGGAAGCACACGCCTCCCAGCAACCTGTGCTGGTCTATGAGGCGAGATTATGGATCAGGAGACTTTGGGGATGCATGTCATCGTATCCCCATTGAGTAGATCGAGATTCATGATGTTAATCACTGGATTATCAGGCCCAGAGTTGTTTATTTACAAACAGGCGTCATATAGTCAGCGGGCGGTGGGGGTGCCTAGTGGTTTTAGCGTCCGCTCGTCACGCCGAAGACCCGGGTTCGACTCCACACATGGGTACAATGTGTAAAGCCCATTTTCTGGTGTCCCCCGCCGTGATATTGCTGGAATATTGCTAAAAGCGGCGTAAAATTGTACTCACTTAATCATATAGTAAGACTTAAGGCTACACACACACGCACGTACGCACACATACTCACATTCTACCTCACATTCTACACATACCACGTGTACAGTGAATATAATACCCACTCACAATGCAACTTGAGCAAATACAATTTTTTGACCTTTTGAAAGGCGAACATTAGCTTCACATTAATGATGTATTAGTTGACATTCACTGCTTTTTATACTCTCTCACACACCGACAATAGCTCCCTGTATGATAGTTATATATTCCCTTCCCACAGTTGTCAGTGGCGAGGGGAACCCTGCGGTATCTTCAACTTCACTGAGATAATGACAGATCACGGCGTCTGTTTCTCGTTCAACCTACCTGACCAAAACACATCTGACCGAGACCGTCTTCACGTCACAGAAGCAGGTTGGTCAATGTCCACTTACAAAGCAGTTACTCAATTCAAAGGAAAATTGCTTGTACCTTATGAACAGATGGCATGCCACTACCTGTTTCAGTCATCTAAGGCACCGCAATTATATTTGCATAATTACGTCCCCAAGAAAGAGCAGGATCCGGAGACAATTAGATCAGCTCCAAGGCTAGACTGTTTTACTGGTTGGCACACTAACCATGCTCGTTGACTTACAAGCTGCAAACATGCTGTGTCTTGTCAGTCACAATGAAGCAGTTCAATATAATTTAATGTAACTCGTGAGGACAACGGTTCGAATTGGTCCAGAGCAATGGATGTTATAGTTAATTGAATGGATCGAGTGGTCAAGATTGTTGATTTGGTTCTTGGAGTCAGTGCACCCCGACAATATCTATCTCTTAATTGTCTGCCTCATTTCAAACAAGATCTGACCGCCTCCGTGGTGTAGTGGTTAGAGCGTCCGCCCGGAGAGCGGAAGGTCGAGGGTTCGTTAAAATATGGTACTTCTTGGTCCCTGCCTGGCGCTCGGTATTAATGGGTACAACAAGGACTGGTCGGCTCGGAGTCAGTATAATGTGTCTGAGTGGGGTATTCATGCTTCACTGCGGCATGGTATCTCAGTGGGCTAGCACTATAAAACCAGCTGTCTGGGCTAGTACAAGCAACCGCACATACACATACACACGCATGCACGTCGTCATATGAGCGAAATATTCTCAAGCACGACGTTAAACCCAATTTCACCTCACCTCACCTCTTAATTGTCTTGTCCAGACATACCGATTAAAATCCGGGCTAGGATTGATCTTCAGTATCCCATGCTAAGACTACTGGGATCGGGTGGTCAAGCTCGATGAATTGGTTGACGCGTCATCGTATCCCAGTTGCTCATGCTGTTGATCGCTGGATTCTCTGGTTCAGATTCGATCATTTACAGACCGCCGCCATATAGCTGGGATATTGCTGTGTGCGGCGTAAAACTAAACTCACTCACTTGTACAGGCGCGATTATTTTCATGTCGCCGGAATACAACTATATGATAATAGGTACGCAAACAAAGAAACAAGCACATACACACACCAACAATGCATATTCATTAATTTCGACCTGATCTGTGTGTCCAGGAGCTGAGAACGGGGCTGTCCCTGACGCTCAATGTGGAGCAGTACGAGTACATGCCCGGGCCCCACGACGCCGCAGGGGTCAAGATCCTCATCCATGACCACAGACAGTTCCCCAAGGTGCAGGAGCTCGGTATCGCCCTACCCACGGGGACACATTCATTCGTCGGCATGCAGCTCATCTCGGTAAGCTGTCAGCATCTCGGTATCTTAGCAACGTACCACGGAGTAGTGAACTGTTGCTTGTTGCAAATCAGTCTCAAGAGTTGCGCCATTCAGACGATGCAAGATCAGTTCATCGCGCGTTCGAATCTAACTATCAGACATGAAACAATTTGTGTTCAGCACACTCTTGTTATCACGCTAACACGACGTGTCAATTCAAAGTGACCATTTCGGATCGTTGCCAAGCAACATAACCCCTTCACCTTCCGTATCCAGGACCACCATATTGTCGAAGGAAACCCGGAAGACATGCAGGTGTTAGACGCGAGTAACTTGAAACTTCTAACATTTCCATGATGAAGTAAAGACCAGGCAAACCGACCATCAGAATCTGAGATTCAAACCCACGAAAAATAGAGACACACTGGACGACTGGACGACTGGACGACTGGACAGGCCATAAACGGAGTGTGCCGGACGTTCGTAATACAATCCTACGGCTCTTTATAATCACCTTATGATCTAATATTTTTTGTTGTAGATTAATAATCTTCCTAAACCACACGGAGAATGTCAGTGCCCTAGCCTGAAGTACTTCCCTCACTACTCAATCGAGACATGTCAAGTGGAATGTTCCATGGTGCAAATTTCCCAAAGGTGTGGCTGTCGGCTCTTCTACATGCCGGAAACGGAAGGTAGGGGGGCGATACCATATTCATTCTAGGGTGTGTAGCTTGTTTCAATATGAGACCAGGGTTGAGCCGCCAGATATCTATAGATCATTTGTAAATGGTCAAGCTATTAGGGGGCGGTGGGGTAGCCTAATGGTTAAAGCGTTGGCTCGTCACGCCGAAGGCCCGGGTTCGAATCCCCACATAGGTACAATGTGTGAAGCCCATTTCTGGTGTCCCCCGCCGTGATGTTATTGGAATATTGCTAAAAGCGGCGTAAAACCAAACTAAGTCAGTCAAGCTATTAGGTAAGCACAGGCTTACGTTCTGAAGTTTTGCATGTGATTTAATTTCAATCAGTTTATTCATATTAAGAAACATGTTTATGGGAAAAAAACAAATCTAGACCCTTTGGACCTTGTGGTGAAGCGTAGGGGTTAAGGTGTTAGCTTACCAGGGTTCTTATTCAACCTTGGTACAAGGGGACGAATCCATTTCGGGTGTTCTCCGCTGATGTTGTTGGAATTCTGCTACAAGAAGGCGTAAACCAGCTTCCCCTCATTCTCGGGGACATGTATTACACGTTTTTAATGTTCATTATGACCGTGTAATTTCAGATGACATTCCACTCTGCACTCTAGGGGATTACTACGGTTGTTACAAGCCTTTTGCGGGTAAGGCTCCATTGTGTTCTGTTAGAAACAGCTTTTCGTACTTCAGCAGTGGCGCATATATACAGATGTGGTGGATTATGAGAAATCAATGCATTAATTACTAAAAGAAACTGCCGAGTCTAAGTAAATTTAGGCTCAGTATTATTCGTTACACCGCTATACCGAGTCCAACAAACCCTAGTAGGAGGTTGCGTCAGCTAACCTTTTGAATTGACCAATCAGAACACAGCTTCACAGATGTGTATCACTCGGGAGCGATCGTGCTGAAAATGGCATTCAGAATCGTTAGAGTACAAATGTAAAACTATCGCGATTTCGTAAGCTGTGTTCTTCTTTCTACTAGGGTTTGTTAAACTCAGTATATACCAGTGTAACGAATGATACTGAGCCTAAGTTTACTTAGGCTGAGAAACTGTCCCATTTTGCCTATTTCACATCTGTAAAGCACACACACGCACGCACATGCACACGCACACGCACCCACACACACGCACACACACACACGTACATACATATAAAAGAACCTCTGACTAGGACAAATCATATTGAGCGAAGGAGACATACGGGGTATATTTGGTTAACAACTGAATCGTTCAATTGATTTTTGACAGTGGAGATCCGAGAGTCTGTGCAACAGAACTGTCACTGTCCTGTCCCATGCAACTACACACTCTTTGATGCAACCGTATCATACGCCACGACCTCCACCTTCGTCATCGACCGTTTCCTCAGCAACACAAACAGATCAGCCCTGAAAATGAAATACCAGAACGCCAGAGACATCACCCATCGTCTTCAAATCAACAAAGCTGAAGAACTTCGAACACTCTTACAAACCTTGGACCAAAACTTCAAGGTGTTAAGACACGTGGTTTTGGATCAACTAAAGGTCAAGATCAACGAACAGAGAAAGCAACTGTTGAATATCTCCGAGGACTTCTTATGGAACTGGAATGAGACGTATATGTATTTCCAGTACCAGAACTACATTCATCTGAAGGACCTTGCTCGGGCAAGAGATGCCATGAACGAGCGAACCTACTCTGTGATAGCACATGGAGTTCAGGAGTTCACCTTCAGTGTTGAAAGGAAAATTGAGCAACTGGCTGATCCAGAGATCAGCGATACCTCAGTGAGGAAGATGCTCTTCATCATGGTCAAGAACCAGCTTGAAGCAAGGATAGACATGGCCAAAAGAACAATACAAAACCACACCCAGCTGTTATCAAGCTACCTCAATGGAACGCCAGTTTTTAACTACAGGTTCAGAAAGTTCAGTCGGGAATACAGCTACCTTCTGATTCCGAAGGAGCTGATTCATCAGGCATTTCATAGGTCCGAGATTGTCAGAAGGCGTACAAATCAGCTTGAGACTGATATCAAGGAAATGATTTACTGGATGGAAGAATACGAAAATCTTGCTGCGTCAGCGTTTATGAATGGAACCATAAATACCACTTTATTACATTTTGCTAACGTACATTTTCTAGACAAGTGCAGACAGTTTTTGCAAAGTAAAAGCCACTTCTTTTATGATTTTATACAATGGATGATTATACAGTTAGATAAGAGGGAGCAGGATTTCACTCACATTAAAAAGGACTTTAAAAAGGCACATGGCGTTACGTTAAAGTATCTGGGCATCGTAGGAGATGCAATAGAAAGCATCCTATTGTCCTTAGAGGATGTTCAGAAAGGAAAACGTTTGTGTGAGGACTATTTGACCTATGGGAATATTAGCCTTGAGGTTGCGTCACACTTCTTCAGATCTAAAACTTTTCAGAATAATGTCAACAGTTTAAATGTGTTCTTCGCAACTGTCAGGAATAGAGGACAGAATGTTTACGACAGCTGGGAGAAGCTTTCAGTGGTTAGTCAAGAGATGTGGAACTTCACCTTGAAGCAGGTGGACCTTATGCCTTACTGGAGGTACATGGACATTAGCAGGTACTTGAGAAACAGCTCGGAGGTAACTCGGGAGATCAAGGACAGCTTTCTCGACCATCGAGACATGATTGACGTCCAGTGTGGGTTCGATAACAAAGATGAGACGTTGCTGCGGAGTCTTGAGAGTCTCACCGATCATATGGACGAGTTCTACGCCAGTAGTCACGTTGATTCAACGTTTGTCAAGTAAGTGGATAATGTTTGATATATTTCTCACTCTCTCTCTAACTCACTCTCTCCCCCTCTCACTCTCTGTCTCTCACTCGCTCTCCCCTCCCTTCACACACTCTCCCCCTCACTCTCGCTCTCCCCCCTCACTCTCTCCATACTCTCTCTCTCTCTCTCTCTCCCCTCTCACTCTCTCTTTCGCTCTCTCTCACTCGCTCTCCCTCCCTTCACACACACCCCTCCCTCTCTCTCTCCCCTCACTCTCTCACATACACACACTCTCCTCTCTCTCTCGCCTCCCCTCACTCTTCTCACATACACACACCTCTCTCCTCTCTCTCTTCCCTCACTCTCACATACACACACACTCTCCCCCTCACTCTCTCTCCCCTCACTCTCTCACATACACACTCTCTCTCTCTCTCACTCTCCCTTCCCTTCACACACTCTTCCCCTCAGTCTCGCTCTCCCCCTCTCACTCTCACATACACACACTCTAACCCCCTCACTCTCTCCCCCTCTCTCTCTCACACTCTCGCTCTCTCTATCACTCTCTTTTTTATCTTTCTCTCTCTAAAACAGAATGCTATGACACCAAGTGCCTCCTTCTTAGCTATGAACCCGGCCTGCAGATTGTAAAGATTGTAGGGAACCACGACTACGTATATTCTAATGTGTTCAATATTATTACAATAATGAATTTAGCTTATGTTCATGTGAGATTGAGGAAAAACGGTGAGAGAGTTGAAGGAACCATATTGCACTCTCTCACATACACACACTCTCTCCCCCTCACTCTCGCTCTCCCCCTCACTCTCTCACATACACACACTCTCTCCCTCTCTCTCTCGCTCTCCCCCTCACTCTCTCACATACACACACTCTCCCTCTCTCGCTCTCCCCTCACTCTCTCACATACACACACTCTCTCCCTCACTCTCGCTCTCCCCCACTCCTCTCTCATATACACCTCTCTCCCTCTCTCTCCTCCCTCCTTCACACACTCTTCCCCTCAGTCTCGCTCTCCCCCTCTCACTCTCACATACACACACTCTAACCCCCTCACTCTCTCTCCCTCTCTCTCTCACACTCTCGCTCTCTCTATCACTCTCTTTTTTATCTTTCTCTCTCTAAAACAGAATGCTATGACACCAAGTGCCTCCTTCTTAGCTATGAACCCGGCCTGCAGATTGTAAAGATTGTAGGGAACCACGACTACGTATATTCTAATGTGTTCAATATTATTACAATAATGAATTTAGCTTATGTTCATGTGAGATTGAGGAAAAACGGTGAGAGAGTTGAAGGAACCATATTGCACTAGACACTCTGATTCACCTGACTGAATGTTTGCACCGGATAGATAATTGTGTAGGCCATGGAACATTCTGATGACAGTGTTTCAGGGTGTGCTGTTTATTTTAAACAGGGCGATCTCTGTTGTTTTGTATAATGAGCAATACAGATGAATATTAACAATACGAATGTGTCGGACGATAACGGAACAGATATTAATACCTTTTCTCAACGATGTCAACAATGGCCTTAAATAACTTTCCATCAAATAAGGAAACACGAATAAGTGATCATTTGTTCATTGCACATTTCTATTGAAAATGTTTTTTTGGTTTTTTTAGAGATTAAATATAGCTCTCTGTTCTGAAGGCATTTTGGTTTTTATCACTAAAACTGCTCGCTTGAACACACCTGGAGATGTTGCACGGAAAAAACGAATAGGCATTCGCTCCTTTCTGCCATTCGTTCCAGTTCGTGTTTAGGCATTTAGACTACGAATGACTTAGATGTTAGATGTGTAGGTTCAATTGGCTATTGTGGCGTTAGATTGTTGAACTTGCATTAGTATGTTTAAGGGTTAGGCAATTAGTGGTATTTAGCGGGTCATTTCATTTCAAAGTTCATTTAGAATTACTTAAGAGAATCACGTTTAGTTCTTTGTAAAATCTATAGTTTTCTCACTTATAATAGTTGTCACGTTTAGTTCCTTGTTTTAGGCCAAAAGGTAAGATCAAAATTTTAGTTGATAGGTTTTCAGATTAATTTGCATAGCTCTGCACAATCGTTTTATTTTCCACTGCACAACACTCTCTATCTCCCAACTAACTATATGCTTGTCTTTTTTATTGCCATCAAGAGATCAGGATATAAGGTACAGTCTATCTGTTCCTTGCTTCACTAAATAACGGATTGTTTGTATATTCCGCTGGGGAATGATCTAGCAAGAAATGACCTTTATAATAATTTTTGAACTAAACTAAATGAGTGTAAGATTAGTCGATCATACTTTGTAATGCCATGCCGTGGAGAAAGATTACCGTCTGTTGAAAACCATGCTTCTTGGAAGCTAATAGTCCACACAATATGCTTATATATACGATTATTGTTCTGACGTCTTGAAACATTCGTATACAATGGTATCTGTATTATTTCAATGTTACACAACAAATATTCATTTAACACCTGTTGTATTCTCTTACATATATTCAAATCTGATATATTCAATATGCACACACATAAAGCTGTCTCTGCATTTTACTTTCTTTATATAGGGCGGTGTTGTAGCCTGGTGGCTACAGCGTTGGCTCGGGTTCGATTCCCTACATGGATAAAATGTGTGAAGTCCATTTCTGGTGTCCCCCGCCGTGATATTGCTGGAATACAGCTAAAAGCGGCGTAAAACCATACTCACTCACTCACAACTGTTTCTTTTCAGGGAAAACTTCTTGAAGTTGGACGTTTATTTCCGCCAACTCAGCTATGAGAAACACACTCAACAAATTGCCTATGACGTGTTTGCGCTGTTCTGTGAGTACTTGTCCTGTGGGTATTCGGATTAGGTTCCCATCAAGACATGATTGTCTCTGTGGATCGGTTGGTTACTCAGTGACTGTGTTGATTACGAGGATCATATCTCAACGGTGCTGAACGTTGCTAAAAATATCACTGGCCTGTCCGACCTAGATTCGATCAATTACAGGCGGCCATTATGATACAGCGTCAAGCAGCCAACATACAAATCTTACATCCAGCAGACTGTGACTATCTGTATCCAGCTTCAGAGGCGGTGGTGTAGCCTATCGGTTAAAGCGTTGGCTCGTCACGCCGAAGACCCTGGTTCGATTCCCCACATGAGTTCAAAGTGTGAAGCCCATTTCTGGTGTCCCCCGCCATGATATTGCTGGAATATTGCTAAAAGCGGTGTAAAACCTCCCTCATTCAGTTTAGATGTACAATTAGCTACGTTTCCATGGTAACGTGTAGTATATTTTAGCCGAAGTGCGTTTAACGAACGACGGAAGGATATATGGAAGTAAACGTACTGGTCCCTTTGGGTTTGTAGTTTACTGCGTTTGGGTTTCTAATAAAAGCAGATATTATAGATATTTCATCACTAATTTTCAGTGTTCCATTCATACTATTTTCACCTCTAATTTACCTTGTCCGTCTTGGTATATCATTTGTTCCGCTTGTCATCCCCCACCGCCATGATATTGCTGTAAAATTGCTAAAAGTGCTATTGCTATAATGCTAAAACTCACCCACTCACTCACTCAAACACTTACTCTTGTACCAGGTGACATCGGGGGATCTATGGGACTCTTCATCGGAGCCAGTGTCCTCACAATCGTGGAAATCTTAGACCTCATCATATTTCAAGCAATAAGGCTTTCAAACAAACGCTGAACTTTAGAGTTTCACATTTTGGGATCACCGTCTTCAAATTCTGGGGTCACCAGCTTCATGTTCGCCGATCACCATCATCATGTTCTCGGATCACCAGATTCGTGTTCTCGGATCACCAGCTCCATGTTCCCGGATCATCATCTTCATGTTCTCGCATCACCAGCTTCGTGTCCTTGAAACACCATCTTCATGTTCTCGGATCACCAGATTCGTGTTCCCGGATCACCATCTTCCTGTTCTCGGATCACCAGCTTCGTGTTCTCGGATCACCAGCTTCATGTTCCCGGATCACCATCTTCATGTTCTCGCATCACCAGCTTCGTGTTCTTGAATCACCATCTTCATGTTCTCGGATCGCCAGCTTCGTGTTCCTGATCACCATCTTCATGTTCTCGGATCACCATCTTCATGTTCTCGGATCACCAGCTTCGTGTTCTTGGATCACCATCTTCAAGTTCCCGGATCACCAGCTTCATGTTATCGGATCACCTGCTTCATGTTCTCGGATCACCAGTTTCATCTTCTCGGATCACCAGTTTCATGTTCTCGGATCATCTTCTTTATATTATCGGATCACCTGCTTCATGTTCTCGGAAAACCAGTGTCATGTCACGGATCACCAGCTTCGTGTTCTCGTATCACCAGTTTCACCTTCTGCGATCACCAGCTTCTCAAGTTCTCGGATCACCAGCTGCATGTTCACGGATCGCCAGCTTCAAGTGCTCGGATCACCAGCTTTATGTTCTCGGATCACCAGCTGCATGTTCTCGGATCGCCAGCTTCAAGTGCTCGGATCACCAGCTTTATGTTCTCGGATCACCAGCTTAATAACCCGCACTATGTGACTGATTGCGATGTATATATTTTGGGAGATTTCAATGGTCGTGTTGGAGGTCGCAATATACCACCTGATGGATGCAAAAATTACTTTCCTGAAGATGAGCCAGTACCTTTATGTGTTCGATTTACTCAAGATAGTGTTTTAAATAGATTTTGGGATTACTTTTTAAATTTTTGCATCTTTTTCAATCTGTTCATAGTTAACATGAAAGGCGATGATAAAGGTCACTTCACATTTCTGAACAAAGCTGTTGTGTTAATTATCATAAGATTTCCTCCCAAAAATTTCTTGAAATACTTTGATAGCTTTAGGGTATGTGATAAAGCAGACATATACTAATAATTCTCGGCTTTAAACTTAACATTAAGAACGTAATAGAATGGAGGAAACTGACATCGCGGCTTAAATGTAAAGTCTTTCATGAACATCACTTCAGTGGACCAGAAACATATCACGAATGTTAACAGACACACTGTTCAGATATATTTGTCATATTTCGACTACATATCAGATGCCGCAAAATGTATGAGAAAGAAAAGAATCTCCCAAATTAAACTTAAATATGTGTATGGTTGCGAATGTCACTGGTCAAAGTTACAAACAAGGAAAAGCCTTAAGCCCTTACGAATGACGGAAATACAGTTTATAAAAATAGATATTGTCAACTCAAAAGTATGCAGAAACTGGGAAAAATGTGAACAAAATACATCTAGAAAGGTGTACTTAATTAGATTAGAAATCTAAATTATTCTGGAAGGAGTCGAAAAAACTACCTAATCTGAATATATTTTCGATGAAACTTGGTATTATCTTTTCAAAACAATTCATTATCCTAACTTTCCTGAACAGGATACGGAATTAAAGGTGCCTACAGCTATCGAATAAGAATGTTGATAAACAAATACTAGAATGTCATAGTAGGGAAGACGAAATTCGGAAAGCTATAAAAGGCCTGAAGGATGGAAAAATCACCTGGTGTTAACAGAAATGATAAAATCATCGGAGAATATCGTAATGCCTTTTCTTCTCGCTATATTCAATAATCATTTTGATAGTGACAGTCCCCCAGAATCGTGGAGTAAAACGACTTTTATTAGTTTACACAAAAAGAGGAGCGTTCAAATCAAAACAATTACAGAGGCAATTCATTATTAAGTATCTAAAGTAAATTATATACCAGTATATTAAATAAACGTTTAACACATAGGGCAAATATAATGTATAAAATATCAGAAAATCAAGCAGGCTTTTTTCCCCACTTTGTAATGAAATTACAAGGAAATGTATTATACCTGAATGAGTGAGTATGGTTTTACGCCGCTTTTAGCAATATTCCAGCAATATCACGGCGGGGGACACCAGAAATTGGCTTCACACATTGTACCTATGTGGGGAATCGAACCCGGGTCTTCGGCGTGATGAGCGAACGCTTTAACCACTAGGCTACCCCACCGCCCCTTATACCTGAAAACCTAACTGCAAATATACTTAACTTTAGGAAACTTATTTAAACAAATAGTACACATATGTTGACGTACATGTATATTCATACCTCTGTTGCGTTTGTTGTATATATTAATGTATATGGACTCAGTTGCCTTCATGCTTGAATAAAAATACTGATTGGTTGATATTTGAAGGTTTAGTGGCTATGATCCATCCATTCCTCTCACTCATGTACAGACAATATATGTTTATATATCTCTCTGGAAGACAAATTCCGAGTTATATTTTCTGACAATTCTGCAAGAAGATCACTTTTTGGTCAGTATTAATCGACGTCTTGAGATATGTATCTTTTTTAAAAATCTGTCCATTTGTGTCCCGGTCCCGAGAGAGTAGACGTTTGACTGCGAATGTGGAGGTAAGTGATCGACGGGAAGAATCTAAGATCGCATGTCTTGAATCATTCGTACAGGAGCCGATTTTCAGAAATTGGCAGACTTGCAATTCGACAATGAAAATATGTATACATACGAAGCGATACGAAGGGTTAACATGATTGTGAGGATGCATGTGACCGACCCTTCAAGTTACACTTGCAGTTTTGTAGAAAACAAAATGCATGTTGTAATTACGCAGGAAATCAGAAGCCAAAAACGTTCATTTCTTTCGTAATTTTGTTTAACAGTCATTTCTAAGACATTATTTTTCTAAAACATGATACAAAATAATCATTGTTTTGTTATTGTATCTGAAAGCCGAAGCCAAACATTATCTGTTTTTTTTAATCTTCTTTCCGAAACGTTCAGCATATTCAGAATATGTTTTTGTAAAACATGACGTAAAATATTTTTCCCAGTATGGTGGAGTTCCATAGTCTCCCCAGAATATCAATGGGTGGCCCAATATGGTGATGCTTGTGTTTTGTGTTTGCAACAGAGATGCGTGTATCAAAAAGCCAACGGACTTGGCCTGGCTTTGAGTGAGTGAGTATGGTTTAATGCCGTTTTAAGCAATATTCCAGCAACATTGCGGCGGGGAACACCAGAAATGGGTTTCACACATTGTACCCATGTGGGGAATCGAACCCGGGTCTTCGGCGTGACGAGCCAACGCTTTAACCACTAGGCAACCCCCGGCCTGTTTTTGTATGTATGTATTTGTATACAGGTATTTTCTCGGTTTTCTCCAGAAGAAATACAGCATAATGCGTGAAATAAACATTTTACATTCCACCTACTTCATCTGTTGGGTTACATTTCTATCTTTGGGTATAGGTTTAGCTAAAAGACTCAATGAGTCTTGATTAAGGGTTCGATTCCCTGTATACAGACCAATAGCCGGAATCTCCTTTGAGATTGGTCTGATTAAGGGTTCGATTCCCTGTATACAGACCAATACCACTGACCAACAGTAGAAGCAGTTCCTTCTGCCATCCACGAGGATACCTCGCACGTTAACCTACGATTCAAATCTTGTGTGATTCTCCAAGGCCTATGGAGATTACCATAATAGTTATAATTGAGTGAATTTTGGAGTCGAACCTATTTGTTCTTAATCCGGCGTTGACGGCCGTAAAGCAGCTCGAGACATCTGGTCTTGTATGAATCACCATTCTTTATTTCGCTTTCTGGGTGTAATACAAATATATAGCTTGCAAAAAATATATATAATTATTCATGCTTATATACAAAAGTACGTAAATATATACACTTATATTTTGCACAGCAAAAACTTAGGTTTTACAGTCATATCTTATAAATTACATCAGCATTTCGCGTGCATTCAATCAAAAATGATTTTTTTCACCAGTATAATTTTATACAACATCCCACTATGAAGGCTGGTATTTCTTCTTCAGACACTCCGCCGTGATATTGCTGGAATATTTCTAAAAGCGGCGTAAAACTTAACTCAGTCAGTCAGTCTTCAGACTCTTGTCATCTGTAATGTTATCCATCCTGAATATACTGACGGAAAAAAATCATAAAAAAATTATTCCAAAATCTTATTAATTTGCCCATTTTTCTGTTTTTATCAATTAGCAGTCTGAATTGTTGGAAAAAGGTCTGAATCTTCGACATTCGGGTTCTTCCTGATTATGCATAATTAAAGCTTACTTGATGTGTAAATGTCATCTTGGCATATAACAGAATTGTTATTTTAGTCCAAACTTAATTCAATTGTGTAGTTTGAGCAGGAGAGGAATAGTTATTTGGGGTACAAATTCAGTCCCATCACATTTTCATCAACATATTCTTTCATAAAGAATAGAATAGGTTATGGTATTTGTAAAACTGTCAGTGGATAAAGCCTCTTTAACTACAGGGTGATTAAATTGATGGCTATACCCAAACGTTTCTGTAGCATCACATCTTATTTTCAAAATGGGGTGGTGCTTAATTAAAGCACGGGTGTATAGTTTGTTATAACTGAAGAGTTGTTACCCTCGTGCTTATTCGGATAGTAAGAAACTGTTTTTGGTTCCTTTGGAGTTCGTTAAAGTTGGTTTGCGAATTGGCTGCGAAAATACATAGGGGTCATATGGTGAAGGTCAAAATAGGGAATTGCATCGGACAGCATTGATGTGTAAAATCTGCTCATAGCCTCCAGATGTCTTCCGTAAAATGTTTGAGACTTTGTGACCATTTTTGTCGAGAAAACTTCCACCAGGACATCATCTTGAATCGTTGCCTACATTGAGGTTATCAACATGCATCTACCTGGACATTGGTGCTTCCATTTAAAGTATTTCGTAAACCTCTGTTTGGTGGTCGACTAAAGAACAGTATTTTATCACTTGTATTTATATCTCAACATTTTATTTCGTCCACTGTGCTGTTTTCTCGCAATAGTTTTTAGGACGAGTGAAGTAGGGACAGCCCTCAGTGGTGACGTTTCTCTATATGCTATACCTGGCTGGCCGACTCAAAGGAGATTCCGGCTATTGATGCTCGTAACTGATTGGCTGACAAGGCTCGGTGACTTTGGTTGGTGGCGTCCACGGCTCCCGACGGCGTGTATCGTGCTTACAACATCAATCACTGGATTGTTCAGTCCAGACTCGATGATTTTCATGTACGAGGTGACTGAATGGAATTGGTCATAAGTCTCGTTGACCTGGATGGTTGCGTGGAAAGGTAGTCTTACTTCGTCTTGGAACCTGGCTTATAACACAATCACTGGTTCACCTGGTCGACACGCGAGTATTTACATTCCGTCGTAATATTGCTTGGATTTGGTAACCGAGACTTACAGCAGCAAACACGGTATGTTAATGATAGGTTGATCTACATTATACACAGACACTCAGGACGTCCCGAGTCACATAGAAGTATGCAAATAAGCTGTACTTAAATCCAGTATGTAAATCAGCATTCACGCCAGGAATAATCGGAGGGATGGAGTGGTATCACTTATCACGTGTCACTTCTTGATTTCCGTGGCAGTAACAGAATGATACATGAGTAGATCCATGATCTCGAAGATCGTCATCACACTGGCACCAATAAACAGCCCCATGGATCCGCCAATATCGCCTGTAACAGAGAGACCATGGTACACTCAGGTTGTCATGTTTTGAAGGAATGCCGAGTATGGTCTGCGATTAACACTCTATATGTTTAGGTCAAGGTGTCAGCGTGACATGACATATACTTCCTGGGTCCCGATCAAGACTGACTGACTGAGTTTGGTTTTACGCCGCTTTTAGCAATATTCCAGCAACATCACGGCGGGGGCTTCACACATTGTGCCCATGTGGGGATTCGAACCCGGGTCTTCGGCGTGACGAGCCAACGCTTTAACTAATAGGCTACCCCACCGCCCCTCCCCGATCAACAAAGCGTTTGTAACGTTAAGACCTGTCGTAACTTTATCAGAGGCTTACGAATGTCATAGGGACATAGCCCTACGAACGTTTTGTGGATCGGGACTACGATACGGAAACACCACGGGGACAATCGTAATGACATGATTCGATTAACAGAATGTTCACAATAATGACTCAGACAAGGCAAACATAAAAGATCCTGTCTTAAAGTTATGTCATGGAATTGCAATCTTTTCAAATCAAATCTTAACGCATCGATCACTGAACATGGACAGGACTAGTTCATTACGCAGGTGAAACCTCATTGGCAAACACCAGAAGGAATGAACTCTGGGCCGGTCACGATGGAAGGAAGTTTATTTTGCCCAACAGAGTATAATGGGATGACAACTAAACTGTTACTACGACTCTCGACCTGGATCTATTCAGTGGAAATATACTGAAGGAACAGTTACTACTGACATCAATTAAGGGAATATTCCCGATAATAAGCCATAGCGTTTGCTACTAGTTTGTTTGCAATCAACGTTGAAGTCGCTCGATCCTTGCTTTTTGGCTTCATTTAATAAGTACTGGATAATTGATATCTTCAATATCATCAACCTCATCATCATCATCATCATCACCATCAGCAGCAGTATCGGAATCATAACGAAAGGTGAGGTGAGGTGAGGTGAGGTGAGGTGAAATTGGGTTTAACGTCGTGCTTGAGAATATTTCGCTCATATGACGACGTGCATGCATGTGTATGTGTATGTGCGGCTGCTTGTACTAGCCCAGACTGAAGCTGGTTTTATAGTGCTAGCCCACTGAGATACCATGCCGCAGTGAAGCATGAATACCCCACTCAGACACATTACACTGACTCCGAGCCGACCAGTCCTTGTTTGTACCCATTAATGCCGAGCGCCAGGCAGGGACCAACAAGTACCATATTTTAACGTCTTTTGGTATGACGCGGTCGGGGATCGAACCCGCGACCTTCCGCTCTCCGGGCGGACGCTCTAACCACTACACCACGGAGGCGGTCCATAACGAAAGGTTCAGTATAGCACATAAAGATGAGTATATAGTAATACTGATGGTGGTATAGTGAGTGGGTATGGTTTTACGCCGCTTATTGTCAGTGTGTGTGAGAGAGTATAAAAAAGCAGTGAATGTCAACTAATACATCATTAATGTGAAGCTAATGTCCTTAAAAAAGGAAACCAATACAGCATATGCTACGTGTTGATGCTTATCGACACTTAACTTTCTACTGGGTCGTAGGACCTTCGGTATAGACGATGTATACTAAACAAAATACTTACACAGTAAGGCAAAAATGTCATAGGCAACTTGCTGAGTGATCTTCTCATAACTCAGTTCTCGGTAGAAGACGTTGACCTTCAGGAAGTTATCCCTGGAAGAGAACATCAGTTAAAGGATAAATAAAGGATTATTGAGTATTTAACGCAAGGCAATTTCACCTTCACCCGATGACTTTAGCTGAAGATATCCAATGTTAAAACTCCCGATCGTGAAATTCCCCTATAACTAGACACGCACACACATACGCACACACATAAACATCCACGTACGATCAAACAACAGTTTCATACTTTCATTTTAAAGATGATTCTCTCTCTCTGCTTCTTTCTATATTGCTTCCTCAATCTCTTGCCCTACCCCCCTCTCTCTCTCTCACACACACACACACACAGACAGACAGACAGACAGACACTCACTGAGGCACAAATTGCTATTCAAGACGAGACGTACCTGACAAATGCCGAATCTACGTGACTGCTGGAATGGAACATTTCCATGTGCTCTGCGAGACTCTTAAAACTCTGAAGGAACTCCTCATCCTTGTTAAGGAAACGACTCCGGACATCAATCATGTCCCGATGACGAGCAAACTCCTGCGCGATCTCTGCTGCTACCTCCGTATAGTTCCTGAGATACCGTCTGATATTCTTAAACTTCCAGTACCGCATAAGATTAACCTGGCTCAGAGTAAAGTTCCACATCTGCTGGGACGCCATCGACAGCTGATCCCAGCCATCGTAAACATTCTGACCACGGTTCCTCACAGTGTCAAAAAACACTTTCAAATTATTGATGCCATTTTGGATTTTCTCAGACCTAAAGTGCTCTGCTACATCCACTTTGCTAACGTTCCCATAGGCTAAGTAATCCTTGCACATCTGTATTCCAACCTTCATGTCTGCCATCAAAGACCTCTCGATGCCATGGATCAGCTCGGACACGCTGGAGAAATACCCAAACATTGTATCCCCTAGCCTGATGAAGTCAGTTCGCATTTGAAGGAATGTCTGTTTCCTTAATTCAAGCTGTGTCACTGGCCACTGGATGAAATCGTTGAAAAACATGCTTTTACTTTGTAGAAATTCTCTAGACGCTCGTAAGAACTTAACATTTGTTATGTATATTTCTGTGGAATTTACAGTTTTATTATAGAATGCTTTGTCTGCTATTTTCCCGTACTCCTTCATCCATGTTGCCATGGTGATTATATCCCTTTCGACTCTCAGAGACCTTACACGAACATGATTACTACGTGTAAATGCTTGAAGCAAAAGTTCCCGCGGAAGAATCAAATTGCTGTTCTTCCTGCTAAAGTTTTTGAATCTATAATTAAAGATTGATGACGTATTGAGGAAACCTTTAATTAGTTGTGTGTAGTTCTGCAGCGTTCTCTTCCCTATGTCCAGTCTAGCATTCAGCTTGTTCTTTGCCATGAGGAAGAGGACCTCTCGGACAGCAGGATCATCTATCTGTGGATCAACCAGTTGGGAAATCAGCTTCTCCACGCCGAAGGTGAACTCCTGAACCCCATGGCCTAGGACAGAGAAGGTTCTCTCATTCATAGCGTCTCGGGCACGTACAAGGTTCTTCTGAAGAATATAGTCCTGATAATTGAAATACAGTTCAGTCTTGTTCCAGTTCCAAAGATAATCACTGGAAACATTCACAAGGTGTTTCTCCTGCTCTTCAACACTCACCTGCAACTCATCAAGAATCACCTGGTTCAACGTTTGGAACTTCCGGTCAAGGTTTTCTGTGAGAGATTTAAGAAGGTCAGCCCTGTTTTTTTGTAGACGATGAGTGATGTCTCGGGCGTTCTTGTACTTCATTTTCAGGGCGGAACGGTTAGAGTTGCTAAGGAAACGGTCTATGACGAAGGTCGAGGTCGTAGCGTAGGAGACGGTTGGATCAAAGATCTGGAAAGCGCAGGGGACAGGACAAGAACAGGTGTCCCTCACAGACTGACGTATATAATCTGTAAATATGAAGGTGGTTATGTTAGGTATATGACGACGTGTTGATTGATATGGAAGGAGAGGTATGTATTGCAGGTAAAATGAAATCTTCAAAACAATCCTTCGTGAACACTAAACATTTCACAGGTTTGAGTCCGATGGCTTTATAGAATGCTATTGGATAATGACTGCACGGATCACTATCTTTCATGTCCTGACAACCAAGAAAGAGCCGTGGGGTAGCCCAGTGGTTAAAGCGTTGGCTCGTCATTTCAGGTGTCCCCCGCGATGATATTGCTAGAATATTGCTAAAAGCGGCGTAAAACCATACTCACTCACTCAGTAACCGAGAACAGTTTCAGTTGGGCTGGTAACGGATGACGACACTTAGATCCATCACTATGACTACCAGAACAAACAGGAATTCTTGGATCTACTGGATCAACTAACAAAGTGACAGATAGCAAAGGAGTACTTCACACGAGGAATAACTATGAATGGTGAATGATGGCAACGTATGGAAATCATTGAGAGACTGTATAAAAGAGAAGCCACGCGGAAACTTCAACATAGGATTCTTCATCATGACCATGTTCCAGTGTACACTAGTCTTGTTTGGAACGTGGTGTATAGAAACATGTACAGTACTGACGATGTTTCTCCATAGTTCATGGGGGTAAAACTATTTGTTAAAATAATTTTCGAGGATGAACTGAATTCTATGCTGTATTCCTATATTTCATTATGTTTTCTATGGAGTCATAACAGAACAGCAAGTCAAATTTATGAGGAGTTTGGGGGGTATTTATATGACACTTGACAACGGTGTCAGCTTTGAATATTGTCAGACCATGACGAGAATGTGAGAAATAACGCTTCAGGTAAAGCTGAAGCTGGCGAATCACAAAGATCATAAGCATGGCACTTCAATGTAGCCATGGACATCAAAGCATATTGAAGATCGTCCAAGATCAAGGAAATACACACACACACACACACACACACACACACACACACACACACACACACACACACACACACACACACACACACACACACACACACACACACACACACACACACACACACACACACACACACACACACACACTGGCATTTATTCTTGTAAATATATATAGTTTTACGGTCCTATACTGAAAATCAGAGGCCCTATCTACAAATGTACACACACACACACACACACACCAAACAACAACGCACACACACACACACGCACGCGCGCGCGCACGCACACACACACACACTGTCCACTGTCGCCCAGATTCATACTTTAGGTTCCATATCTGCACAAGAGGACTGACTGACTGACTGAGTTTGGTTTTACGCCGCTTTTAGCAATATTCCAGCAACATCACGGCGGGGGACACCATAAATGGGCTTCACACATTGCACAAGAGGTGGGGGAGGGTGTTATAATTGACCGTGGTGCATATAGGTCTTACCAAGTTTCTTCAGATAGCAGTCATGGTGTTCCTGCAGCGTGCAGGACTCGGGGCTATCTGCAACAGGAGGTAACGGTCATACAACTCACAGACGATAGTAACGTAGTCATGGCTTAACGTTGCAGTCAGCAATCGAATACTAGCTAAAATTAACATGAAAAGGATAGTAGATGTTGTTTTTGCCCAGCATTCAGCAATATTACAGGTTGGTCAACGTGTTTTGGAAATAGTCAAGACAACACAGATGTTGATACAATGAGAAAATAACAACATAATGTACGATAACACACAGAGGAACATTGTGTATGATTCTATGATTCTACACCTTTCTAATACATGTATGTCTCTTTATGTCTCACTGATCAATAGAGGTCGCAGAGCACCTGATCTTTTATTATCTTATTTGACAAATTTTAATCTATGTGTAACAGAGCTACCTAGGAAATATATTTCCTGTCAGCATAATGCCACCAGCAGGTGCGTGCGTGCTTGTGTGTGCGTGCATGTGTGCGTGCGTGTGTTTAGGATAGGGGTGAGGGGGTGAGATTTGCCGGGTTATCAATGGGACTAGTCATCACTTTATCATCTACACTATTTCACATTTATTAATAGGCAGCACTGTCCAATTATCTACCAGTTCTCACCGATCATGTTTTTATTCCATACCTTCGTTTCGCTGGCAAATCAGATTATTTGTAATTCCTAAAGATAATGTCAATATTGGAGTATTAGTGAAACAGGAAATGTTGAGTGTGATGCTTCACACTTACCTTCTCCCCTCGGCATATAGAAGAGTCTACACCCACAGACTGCATCCAGCTGTTTTGTTAAACATTCCACCTCACAGTTCTCCAGGGAATACTGGGGGGAAGAGGGAGAGATCAGGGGAGCTACATTCCCCGTACGGTTTCGGGAGATTCACAACCTGCAAGATAAGCACCAGCATTAGTCACTGTTGTTCAACACCGATTTTCACGACTTGTAAATGTTCGAGTCTGGACCAGATACACCAGTGGTTGATAGCGTGAGCAACTATGGGACAATCATGCAGGGTTCCTATTCTGACCCGGGTTTCCCTATAACCATGATATCATATAGGATCTTTCAGTCGGTCGGTGAGAGTGAGTGAGTGAGTTGGGTTTTACGCCGCTTTTAGCTATATTCCAGCAATATCACGGCGGGGGGGCACCAGAAATGGGCTTCACACATTGTGCCCCGATGAGTGAACAATAACATTTGTTCATAACACTATTCCAGCTATATGGCGGCGGTCTGTAAATAATAGAGCTAAGACCAGGCAATCCAGTGATCAACAGCATTAGCACCGATCTACGCAATTGGGACACGATGACATGTGTCAGCCAGGTCATCCAGCATGACCACCCGATCCCGTTAGTCGCCTCTTACGACAAGCATGGGTTGGTGAAGACTAATTCTTCAAGGGTTGTCTGCCCACTAAGCGCAAGGTGGGTCGATCGATCCCTAGCCGCGTCATACTAAGAGACCGTAACTAATGGGCCTTTTCTCTTTGTTACCCGGCCTGGTGCTGGGTTAAAACCAGGACTGGTCTGTTCGGAGTCAGCAAACTGTGTCTGAGTGGGCGTATCATTGTCTAACTGGCATCTCAGTAGCCTGGCGCTATAAAACCTGTATGACTAGACAGACTAGTACAAGCAGACATACACACACACAGTTGAATTCACATCGCTGTATAAGTGCAATAAAATGTCACGTTAAACCCCCATCCCAGCTCCTCTCACAACATCTACAGTGATAATACAGAATGATAAGAAACCACATTTTACTTATACTCGTAACCCTGGCAACAGACTATAAAAAAACTCTCATTTCACCTCATCCCGCGCTCTAACTGATGTGCTGAGTGATGGGTTGCGGACACCTGCACTCTGTGTCTCAAGTAGTGCTTGAAGTATATCTACGTTTGTTTGGTCCACGCGGGATTCCTGTGTATACCTCATGGAGAGGTGAATATTGCTCTAAGGGTTACTACATATAATACTGAACCCTAAAGGTGCCACTTATGTAACCAAATATTTCAACCGAGATTTCGCGTTATTTCAGTTGTTTGTATATTTGTTTAATTGTTTAGTACTTTTCTCGTTTTTAAGAATATATTTTCGCAATTTCGATTATTTTCACGAGATTTCAAATATATATTTAACAAATCAATATTACTCATTTTCCCCTCCGTTTTGACTGTTTTGACCGTATTTCAGGTACTTTATGTTTGTTCGTTTTTTTGTTTTTGTTTGTTTTGTCTCTGCTTTGCTTTGTTTGTTTGTTTGTTTTGTTTTGTTGCTTTTTGGTGAGGTTTTTTGGGGTGTACTGCAAATATTTTCTTCGTAAGTTTGAGAGTTTAACTTGAACTGACGAGAAGGTAAGTGAAAAAAACAACAACAAAAATAATTGAATAAACGAGAAATTCCCGTTGAAAAACATATCATCCTTCCAAAGTGGCACCATAAGGCTTCCGTAAATACACATCAGTACGAGAAGACGCGCGTTATTCCGAGATAAATCTGACGTAAGCTTCTGCCCAAGGAAAAGTAGTCCCGAAATATCCCCTACAAATATTATGCTTTCATCTTTTCTTATAGCCAAGGCCGAGAGTATCGTATCATGTTACAGTGTCAGCTGTTCTTATAGTGGAGATGATCGGTAATCACGTGATAGCATGGACGATTCACAGGTGGAGTACTAGTTAAAATACGAATTGAAATTCCATTAAACCGAAATGCGGAACGAAAGATATTAACCAACTTACTATCCGGAAATACAATCGCTGTAGAACACTATACCATTCAGGATGGTGAGGTGAAGTATTTAGGATGTTAGATACGAGTTGCTTTATTTCTGTTCAGTCCACACAGATATACATCATGTATGTATGTATGTATGTATGTATGTATGTATGTATGTATGTATGTATGTATGTATGTATGTATGTATGTATGTATGTATGTATGTATGTATGTATGTATGTATGTATGCATGCATGTATGTATGTCTGTCTCTGTGTGTGTGTGTGTGTGTGTGTGCGCGCGCGCCTGTGTGCGTATGTGCGTATGTATAGTATGACCAGAAATTATTGAGAATTTTAGGAATATGTTTAATTGGATTTCTACTATAAACAACCTTGACCAGCTATCAAGTGCTTGGTTTCATTCAAGAGAGACAACTCCGTTAATCCTTTTTCATTAGTTTGTGAAGAGTTATCCTCCTTTGTTTATTTGCTAGCAGACGACATTTTCAGTGATCCTCAGTTTGGATGATTTAGAGAAGAGGAAGTTGATTTTAGAGTAGTACGTATGTACGTATGTACGTATGTATGTATGTATGTATGTATGTATGTATGTATGTATGTATGTATGTGTGTATGTATGATCATGTCAGTGTATGTATGTATGGATGGATGGATGATCATGTATGTCTGTCTGCCTGTGTGTATCTGCCTCTCTCTCTCTCTCTGTATGTGTGTGTCACTGCCTATCTGAATGTGTGTCTCTATGTGTGCCTGTGTCTGTCTGTGTGCGTGTGTTCGTATGTATGTATGTATGTATGTATGTATGTATGTATGTATGTATGTATGTATGTATGTATGTATGTATGTATGGATGGATGGATGGATGGATGGATGGATGGATGGATGGATGGATGGATGGTTGGATGGATGGATGGATGGATGATCATGTATGTCTGTCTGCCTGTGTGTATCTCTCTCTATGTGTGTGTCACTGCCTATCTGAATGTGTGTCTCTATGTGTGCCTGTGTCTGTCTGTGTGCGTGTGTTCGTATGTATGTATGTATGTATGTATGTATGTATGTATGTATGTATGTATGGATGGATGGTTGGATGGATGGATGGATGGATGATCATGTATGTCTGTCTGCCTGTGTGTATCTGCCTCTCTCTCTCTCTCTCTCTCTCTCTCTCTCTCTCTCTCTCTCTCTCTCTCTCTCTCTCTCTCTCTCTCTCTGTATGTGTGTGTCACTGCCTATCTGAATGTGTGTCTCTATGTGTGCCTGTGTCTGTCTGTGTGCGTGTGGTCGTATGTATGTATGTATGTATGGATGGATGGATGGATGGATGGATGGATGGATGGATGGATGGATGGATGGATGGATGTATGGATGTATGTTCATAACTTATACATGAACATATGCAGCTTTTTATGGCCGGACTATCAACGTCACTCAGCGTAGGCGGTGGGGTAGCCTAGTGGTTACAGCGTTCACCCGTCACGCCGACGACCCGGGTTCGATTCCCCACAAGGGTACAATGTGTGAAGCCTATTTCTCTTGTTCCCCGCCGTGATGTTGCTGGAATATGGCTAAAAGGGGCGTAAAACTCACTCACTCACTCAGCGTAAGCGCATTCACATATTCACTCTTGTAGTTATCCATTAAAATCCGTCAACATTACCCGGAGACACTGTAGCCGAAACCTTGCTTCTGTTAATCAGTGCGCTTATCAGCCTATTGCCAAAACCCTTTAAAGCCCCATCAAGATGGAATGCACCAGTATTGACAAGTGTTTTCAAATCTGTAAAACTGATATGAGCAATCAAATGGACTGTTTGAAACGGGAGACTAAAGGGCGTGTGGCACTTTACACACTGTCATTTAGTTGTTTATACATGAAACATGTGACGTGAAACCTGAGGCCGTCGACGACGGGCAGATTACGCCATCCCACCATAGCCTTCCATTAACAGGTTCTGTTGCATGAAATTCTTGTAAGGCATTTAGAAGTTGGACGAACATAAAGACATGACACGTTTTATGGATAATGTTCAACTTTTTATTTACTCTCCTACCATATATCATTTATGTGAAAAGATTTTAAAAAGTTGTTATTTACAAAACGTGTCATGACTTTAGATTCTGTTGCAGGCCGTCCACACAGACCAATCAGACGTAACTGATAACAATGCTCCCGATTATTATTATTGCAAAATATTACTCTTGATTACAGCAAGAACGTGATGCTTTCTGCCATTCCAATACGGACACACATCACTATGACGTCTTTATTAAGCGGACAATCGAGGAAATGATTAAACAATGGTTCTCGATATGACATGTATTGATAAATCTCTTTATCAAGTTCGGTGTAGCCAAAGTATATGTAAAATGGTATTAGGTACTAATCAATATATGTATATTTTGGTGCATGGTTCTCGTATATTTGTAAAGGTAACCCCTTTCATGAACAACTGGTGTTATCGCTGATTGTCTGTGATCCATTCATTAGGGTTGGGTATTGCCAACTTTTTCTTGTTGCGATATATTGTGATATGTGGCGTATTGCAATATATATTGCAATTTTTTGTGAAAGCGTAACACATGATAGTTTAAGGAAGTGAAATTATGGCTTGTTTATCCTTATAACGACTGCCGGTACCAATCGATTTTTATATTTATATGGTTTAAAAGTCACGCTAATAATAATAACCAATAAACATTCTCAAAACTATTAACGTATAATAATATAAAGGAAATACAAATGTTGTTAGTATTTTCAGGGATATATTTTTTACTACATCACGAAAATTACCGATCATGGTCACGGAAATTGCCGATCGTATCGGGTGAACCGGTTCGCGAATAGTGTACCGCAATATATCGTATTGTGAAGTTCGAATTTCAATATACCGGTAAACCGGTATTATCGCCCACCCCTACCATTCATATAATTTTCAGCACCTGAATGCTTTTTTAATGTATAAAATATATAATCTCTTTTTGGAGAGCAATCGAGACTGTTATTCTTTTGCGCTGAAGACACATAGCTAGTCAATTCCTGTAGTCCCGCATGCCGTTAAGGAAATATTCACTTGTGTATGTTATCTGTGATAACAGTTTAGTGTACATCAATGGAAGACGACTGTTAACCCAACACTGTTTAAAAGTACCATATGTGGTCTGTTGAGCAGAAAATGGGTTATTAATAATTTCAGTTTGTGCTGATGAGTTTTTGGTTAATCTGCATTTTAATTCACATAAAGAACATCCGTAGGGCTGTCAATATATTGAACCTGAGTTTGGTAACTACGTTTTATCACATACAGCCGCAGACCTTATCTGCCTTTTATATATGTCCAAAGTACACAGTAGGGCGCATTGGTAGTTCCGCAGTAGTACACAGGTCTAATTAATCGTGACTGAATTCAGGGGCGTAGCTACCATTATTAAAAAAAAGCCCGGGCTTACAGATGAATTTTGCCAAAAAGGTTGGGCAAGAGCTCTATACTATCTAAATATAAAGCTTTGCAACCTATCGGGTTTACACGAAAACATTGGCTTGCTTCGCGCCTGGAGTTGTTTCCAAAGACTACATGGCAACACACTGACGGGCCACCATTTAGTGATGTATGTAGTCCAAAGACTACATGGCAACACACTGACAGGCCACCATTTAGTGATGTATGTAGTCCAAAGACTACTTGGCAACACACTGACAGGCCACCATTTAGTGATGTATGTAGTCCAAAGACTACGTGGCAACACACTGACAGGCCACCATTTAGTGATGTATGTAGTCCAAAGACTACATGGCAACACACTGACGGGCCGCCATTTAGTGATGCGCCAACATATTAACAATGTTAAGTTTTACAATGTAAAGTAAAAATCTAGACAAGCCGAAGTGTGTTTATATTTTAAAACAGCGCAGAAAATATGTATTATCACTGATGGGGCTTTTTACCCATTCTGGTAGAGTGTATAAGTTGACTATGACATCTGAAAGATTATTCGTATTCCATAGAAATGGTTTATGTAACTTAAACCATTGTTTTGTAATTAGTGACATTAAGTTTTTAGGTGACGCTTGAATGATGATTAATGATCTGCCTGCCTGTACACCACATCGCGTCAATATCTTGTAGTGTAGCCCAGTGGTTCAAGTGTCAGCCCGTCACACTGAAGGCCCGGGTTCAGTATCACCAGCCAGTACATTGTGTGAGCAGCTAATGTGTGGTCAAATCCTGCTGTGATCGATATTGCAAACAGCAGCTAAACGCCAAAACTGACTCACCTACTCATACTAATTCAACTGAATTGATTTAAACAGTTTCTCTGTCATAACGTACATGGGGCTCATTAAAAGGGTATCATTATCGGGGCGAATGTCGGATTCTAATGCGCGTTCAGTGGATCCTTTCACATCTATGGGACGCAACTTCTCTTGGTCATATTGGTGGAATTTGCTGGCAAGGATATTGACAACACAAGAACAATATTCAGAACAATGTTCAGAACGGCGCAACCCATGAGTTTGATGTGCAACCACCATTTTGTAATGTGGTAACGATTTGGTGCCATGAAAGATAGTGCCGACAGGTTACTGTTCCGTGGTACGATACTTAGATACTAAGATGCTAAAAATACAAAGATACTAAGACACTAAGATGCTAAGATACTTAGATTGAAAGGTACTTAGATGCTAAGATGCTGACAGCTTACCGAGATGAGCTGCATGCCGACGAATGAATGTGTCCCCGTGGGTAGGGCGATACCGAGCTCCTGCACCTTGGGGAACTGTCTGTGGTCATGGATGAGGATCTTGACCCCTGCGGCGTCGTGGGGCCCGGGCATGTACTCGTACTGCTCCACGTTGAGCGTCAGGGACAGCCCGTTCTCAGCTCCTGGATACACGCAACAACTGACCTAATGAATTGTAAGGAGCTATTGCAACGCGTGGGTGTTTGTATTGAAATACTGCTTTTTGAAGCTTTATATACCGTGGATGGATGGGTGGACTGAGTGAGTGAGTGAATGAGAGGTGGGAGGGGCAGCGACAGAGCATAAGAGTAAGAGACATGATGACGACATACAGGGACAAGCACACACAGAGACAGACAGACTTATTACACTAAACTTCGATGAAGTTTATTCACAGTTGTCGAAAACATGGACACACACACTTTCACTCATTTGAAGCCCTAGCACTTCTTGCACTTGATCAGGTCTTATCCTTTGTGTGCCCAATCTGTAGGTGAAGCTCAGCTGCTGTAAATCGACGCTTGTTTCTCAATACCCGGCTTCTTGACGCTGTTCCGTTGTCCCCCTCCGTGATATTGCTGGAATGTTGCTAAAAGCGGCGTAAAACCATACTCACTCACTCACTCTTGACACTGTCACTATCGTAACTGACATTACTGTACCTGACTACATTAATCTCAGCTAAGGTCGTATAGAATGTTTCCGTATGACTTCTCTCTAACTTTGAAAGTATATTATCAACATTTTTCTTCATCTCGCAGTTATCTGCTTTGTAGAATCAGATTTGCTCTATGATATTTCCGTCTATACACGCCCGACTTCTAGTTTGGCTTAATGGAGGCATAAAATTCATTAAGCGGGGAATCAGCACGATTCTCGTTTTTCGTTCCAGGCAACAAAGAATTCCATTTCCTGTATATTTCGCTCCGATTGTATTACGCCATGTTGAATGACAGTTCTTTAGTCCTTCCACTCTGAAACGTGATGATGACAGGCCAGCAGGCATTAAGTTCCAGATAGGAGCCGGATGTTGAATTAAAACACCATTCGCAATATAATAGGACAGACCGCCATTGGCATGGAACCGGTTAGCTACATAATAGCTTCCAATGTAAAACATGGAATCGGGGCGAATTTAACCCATTACAAATCGATTTGTTAAAATTGATAGACTTTAAGCGAAGGTGGTTGTCATTTATTCGACTGGTGCAAGTGAAATTACCTTGCTAAGTTAGGGACCGTTCATAATTTATGGCTAGGGAGGGTGATGATGATTTTAAGGGGGAGTCACTCAGGGACTGGTAAGATGGGTGAAATAGGAGTGAAGGATTAGAAGGTAGGAACCGGATGTTTTGTTTCGTGGACCTAGGACTCTTCATTCATTCATTCATTCATCCATCCATCCATCCATCCATCCATCCATCCATCCATTCATTCATTCATTCATTCATTCATTCATTCATTCATCCATTCATTCATTCATTCATTCATTCATCCATCCATTCGGTCTTGTGTTACAACGTACCTGGTGAAAAGACACGATGCACGTCCCTGGTATCGTGGTCGGGGAGGTTGAAGGTATAGCACACGCCGTGGTCGGTCACCACCTCGGTGAAGTTTTCAGACCCACACACTTCACCCCTCCATGTACAGCTGAGAAATACACACATTTCAGTAATATCACGGCTTAAAGTGGGAGGACAAGCCGTGCAATGCAGATCTTCGACAAGTACCAGTATTCTGACCGACAGACCAAGGTCAAGGCATCAACATAGAGTAGATTTGGTTTAGCACCACTGCGAAAAGTATTTAAGTGAAATCGTGACTGAAAGCCCGTGATGAACGGATGAAGGCAGCAGAGATGGTGCTAACAAACCTAGTTCCATAAGTGGGGGTCAAGCCTGGGATTTATAGGTTCAAACCAACCGGACCCTATCTGCATCTAAAAAAAGGGAGGGGGGAGGGGGAGGAGGACATTTATATTATTTCGCATAAGCTTCGTCTCAAACATGATTAAGAAGCTTTATAAAGACAGAATTCTAGCTGGAGTCACCTCTGATAAAGGGGCGGTGGAGTAGCCTAGTGGTTAAAGCGTTGGCTCGTCACGCCGAAGACCCGGGTTTGAATCCCCACATGGGTACAATGTGTGAAGCCCATTTCTGGTGTCCCCCGCCGTGATGTTGCTTGAATATTGCTAAAAGCGGCGTAAAACCATACTCAGTCAGTCAGTCACCTCTGATAAAGAAACAACATTTCCATTTATAGCCGAAATCATCTTTTACAGCCCATCCCTATATATTGAAATATCTCTGACTTTGGCGTTAAACAGTAAACAATGTACTTTCACCGACTCACCTCACCTGGTGTAACAGGACATACTTCTATATTTGCCATGAAGTCACTACACTCACCTGACAATGAGGTCATCTTTGGTATGTGTGGTGTTTGTGAAGAGGTCCCTCAAAGTCATATGGCTGGAGTTTGTGACTACGTAGTCACAGTCAGAACACGACCTCCTTCCGGTGTAGAGGTCAGTCAGAAGCTGGTAATGCTGCAGCTGGGCGGCCTTGCTGGCTCTGGAACAGACGCAGATCATTCAGGATGACACTCGGCAGGACATACATCAGTTCCCTACTTCCTAATAAACATTCTGCTTTCGTCGGAAAACAGTGTTTGTGTTTGATACGGGTAGTATGACGGTATTGTTTAGGACCTTTAGTTTGTAGTGTTGCAGTGGTTGTTTTCAGCCTTGCAACCTGTAGTAAAACCCCAAGTGTATAATTTGTTTTGCCCGGTAGGCATTAGGCATTAAACACCTATGATTACACTCTATTTTGTTAGCTTCTCCAGTTGTGTGTGAGACGTATTTCGTGTTCTTATATTAAAATGAAGACTGCATTAGTCTAAATAAATCCATGTCGATCTAAAAAAGCTACGTGTCGAGTGAAGCGTTCGTAGCGTTACTGTATAATTTATCATACGATTACGAATGACCTAGACATTTGTAGATAGGGCCTCTGATTTTCAGTATAGGACCGTAAAACTATATATATTTACAAGAATAAATGTCAATATATGTGTGTGCATGTATGTATGTATGTGTGCGTGAATGTATGTATGCATGTATGTATGTGCGTGTTTGCGTGCATGTATGCGTGTATGCGTGCGTGAGTGTGTATGTACGATTCTATGGATGCATGTGTTTTTGTACCTGCGTTATTGTCTGTAAGTATATTAATATATTAGCGGTAGCATTTACGTTAAGTCATTTAATCTATATAACACTACGTACAATACATACAAGTGAGTGTATAAATGGAATTACAACACGCTATATTCCACAAACAATTATGCTCACAGCCGCACACCATCAGTTCATGGATCAGTGTGCTCTCAAATGCCATTCTCAACTCCCTGGGGAGCCGTCAACGGAAGCTGGCTATAAGGCGCTACAAGGTAAACAGTCACATTATCAAACACACATTCGCTGCTGGGCGAACAGACGCATTTCCAACATCCCAGATCGTGAAGGAGAAGCCACATGCTTCTAGAGCTTCAGTATGTGTCCCTAGAAACTATCAGGGGACATGTTTTCACCTTATCTCCTTCTACAGCTTGATGTGCGGCTTGCGCGCTACATACTTAAAAACGCCCTTAACACAAACCCACATTTCTTCCTCGTCATTATTTGTAACCGTAACACTGTTGTTTTTCACCTCTGTGCAAGTAAATATAACATGAACTGCCCATTTGTTGGTCATTAGATTGAGAAAGGTACAAGCACCTGTGCCGAGATGTAAATAATCAAAATATTTATCAATTGTTATTCTATCCGACATTTTGTCACCGCCAGCCAACAGAAACTGCAGGATGGTACAGAACCCCATGGAGTGAGCGTTCACGCACATTGTGTAACAGCTCTGACACTGGAGATGAATTCCACTATAATTGCAAATGTAAATATTTCAATGATAAAAGGAAAATGTATATTAAAAAAACTTTCGCCCCACCCCACCCCTTCCCCTAAAGAAAAAAAAACACAACAAAAACCAAAAAAAACAACATATCTTAATCTAGCAATTATGTAACTGTAATGGGTGAGTGAGTGAGTATGGTTTTACGCCGCTTTTAGCATTGTTCCAGCAATATCACACATTGCACCCATGTGGGGAATCAGACCCTACGATCGCTTTAACCACTATGCTACCCCCACCGTCCCTTCACTGTAACACCTGTCCAAAAGAATGTCAGTTTGTAAATATTGTAATGAAAATGTCAAATCTCCCCGTTAATCTATGTCTACCGCCATGTATAATACTTTTTGTGCATCATATGCCGAGGCACTCGGCCTGAAAGAGTGAGTATAGTTTTACACCTCTTTCAGCAAAAATATTCCAGCAATATCACGACCGACGGAGGACACGGCCTGAAGGAATTGACGTGCTGTGCATTGTTTTCTGCACATCAGTCCTTCACGAAAGTCATTCACAGGTAAAGAGGCCAAACAGGCTGCTGCATCTGTGTCCGTCGTTTAACAGAGAAGATTAACGAACCGAAAGTAAACTTTCACAGGAGAGGATATATCAGGTGTTCCATGCACCGACCACCACTCGGGGCAAAGCTTGATAGGAAAGATAACGACGTCTTAACGCATCCCCTCCACACAAAAACGAGCGTGCCACATCCTTTGAAATAGACGCGTTTCTTTCCCCATGTTTGATGCGTATGAAGCCATAATGTTTTATCAGTGCAAACCCCAGGGGGTTATGACATGGCGGCAAGGTGTGGGCTAGACGAGAAACAAGTGGTAAATATAGATTGTTTCATAGGTTCCTGTGGCTAAATACACGAGACTGAGATTGTTTAGATTCTGTATCATACTTGGCCAATATATACACGATTAGGGCTACAGGGATATTCGTCTTTCAAGCATAGTGGCGGTGGGGCTGCCTCATGGTTAAAGCGTCCGCTCGTCACGGGTTCGATTCCCCACATTGGTACAATGTGTGAAGCCTATTACTGGTGTCCCCCGCTGTGATATTGCTGGAATATTGCTAAAAGTGGCGTACAAACCATATTCACTTTAAAGCTTAACTTGCCTTGTTGTGTTCACGGTGTGTTTCCACACTTTAAATGAACGATAGTATTGAATGACCATAAACTCGTGGGGAATTATGGAATTATCCCCAGATTTGAGTTGCTGCGTAATCTTTGTTTTGTTGGTTGGTGATGATGTAGAGTCAGCATATAAAAACGTCAGAAATATTATCTGGGGGATGGGTGTTGAGAAGCATCAGGTGGACTGACTGACTGACTGAGTTTGGATTTACGCCGCTTTTAGCAATATTCCAGCAACATCACGGCGGGGAACACCAGAAATGGGCTTCACACATTGTACCCTTGTGGGGATTCGAACCCGGGTCTTCGGCGTGACGAGCCAACGCTTTGACGACTAGGCTACCCCACCGCGCCAGCATCAGGTGGAAGAATGCCTTGCCTTTGCATATGTTTGTGATTGCTGCAACCGGTGGGCACCTTACAAATAATGTAAAATTGTTTTCAGAGATTCCGAAACACATGCTCCTATGATTGTATGTCACAGATGATGATGGGTTTAGTGCTCATTGTATTTTACTTGAGATGCTTCGCAACACAAATCTCTGCCTCTTGGGACTTCCGGAGTAGAACCCCAAAACCAAGGTTGGTCGTAGTACAGGCGACCTATTGGATCGGCTAGTTAAGCTCAGTGATTTTGATGAAGGCGTGTCATGCTGCTCTGACCGTGTTGACCGTTGCTCGCAGTATCAACCACTGGATTAAGGTAGACACATCATTAAGTATGTAATGTAAATACTATGACTTCACCACAGACACAACATTCCATCTACAAGGTTCATACCGACTTCAATATAGACACACACTTATGCAAGGCCTGAACTTAGTCATTCCAGCCACTTGTTTAAACATGTAGGAGATATTCGGGGTATTTGAATGCTTCTTATGAGTTAAAAGGTCAACATCTGGTTCTCGAGGTTCTGCTGCCCTTTCGTCAAACACTCCCGGCCGCTAGTCCACGTGTAGAGAAAGTTCACGTTCAAGTGTGTGCCACTTTTAGAAGTTGGGAAGTACAATATAGAACACACTTTATGGATAACAACTTCTTTTTATTCGTGAGTGCGACGTTTCGATACAGATTCTTGTACCGTTGTCAAGCATAATGGAACATGAAGAGGGGGGAAGTATATATACTTCCCCCTTCTTCATGTTCCAGTATGCTTGACATACATATATATACTTCCCCCTTCTTCATGTTCCAGTATGCTTGACAACGGTACAAGAATCTGTATCGAAACGTCGCACTCACGAATAAAAAGAAGTTGTTATCCATAAAGTGTGTTCTATATTGTACTTCCCAACTTCTAAAATGCCACTCAAAGAAGTTAACATACATTACATTTAGGATTACACTTTCTTAGTAAAGTACAAATTCTAGTACTTTTGGGGGTTGAGTTCAATGACCATATGAATGTACAATGTCAGGAATTCATTTCAGGGGTCCTCCACCATGAATATCGCTAAAGGGGAGTAAAACCACGCATTTTTATTTTATTTTCGAAACATTATCACCTGCTCAAATGTGAAATATATTCTGGGTGGTATTTCTGAAGCAAGAGAAGATAGTATAACAACTGGAAGGTTCAGTATTCGATATGAGACCTCTGTACGTGAAGATCTGACACTTCCGGTGTCATGTGAACGTTTTTGATCAAACCGTAAACGTCGAGGCTTCGTTCGGTGCTGTTGAACGGAGCACTCACACAACAATACCTGCTATTTTTATCTCGAAAACGAGCTCAGACGTCCCGAACATAGAGAAATGCGTGGAATTAATTTTAGTTGTTTTGAATATTATATATACCCTGAGCTGTTGAGCGGAGCACTCACACAACAATACCTGCTATTTTTATCTCGAAACAGGCTCAAACGTCCCGAACATAGAGAAATGCGTGGAATTAATAATTGTTTTAAATATTATATATACCTTGAGCGCTGTTGGCAACGACACCCAAAGGGGAGTACCATCGAAGGAAATATTATCTGTGCTGGCGTCTCATTTACACAAATTAAAATGTCCGAATTCGAGGCAAAAGGTGAAACCAAATCGTTTAGAAAGTAGGGCTGGGACGGGTAGGAATAAATGGAATCGAGTACCCGCATGTGCTTACCCGAATCGGAATCGAGTACCCGGAAATGTAAGGAATACAGCGCTTCTGTCATCTGTCTGAATATTCAATCACGGGTTGACAGAGATTATTATAGAAACTTGAAAGGATGGCAATAAGACATTAAAACAGATCTTAGGCTATTTAATTTACGTCTATTTAACCAATATAAAGAGTATCAGCATTACGTACATTCCTACATTCCTCGTTAAAACACAGAACTTTTCGTTCCCGCCGCTCATGCGTAGATAAATAACAGTCGTTCATAATAACCTTCCTTAATCGGACAATACCAATGATGTAAATGTGTGTTACGTCAATTATGAAAAAGACAAGTTATTATCTGCCCTTGTCATTACAGAGTTCTCTCCCTTTCCGGGTACTCGATTCCTAGAAATAGGACTCGATTCAAGGTGTACCCGACCCGGATTCGAGTACCCGAGTACCCGTCCCAGCCCTATTAGAAAGCTGAAATTTGATTGGCTGTTGGAACCATGCCTATTTTAATCAAATGTGCCAACAATATTTGCATGAACTTTTAAAGGCATCAATAGGGCATCATATAAATGGGTTGAATAATGAGACTGAACGAGGCTAAAGTAAATATACCATGAAAGCAGAATATATGAATAATGTGGACCACGTGTGGGCTAGGCACCTACCGGAAGGCATTCTGGTTACAGAGAGTGAGGGTGGGGAAGAAGAGAGTCTTGTTGTAGTTGACCTGGACGTTGACGGTGACGGGGTAGTCGTAGTAGTAGATGATACGGTCGATAATTTGGAAACTCATGATGGCCACACACGTCACAGTTAGAACCAGCCACAGCAGTCTGGAAGAATATGACATAACATGTCAATGTTTTGTAAGATTCATCGAACCAGCCATTTGCGTCCACTGGCATCTCTGATTAGCTTTTTAGAAGTTGGGAAGGACAATATAGAGAAACATTATTGATACCAACTTCTTTATTTCGTGAGTGCGTATTTTCGATACAGATGTCATCCTGCTTGACAACGGTACACGAATCTATATCGAAACGCCGCACTCACGAAATAAGAAGTTGTTATCCATAAAGTTTGTCTATGTTGCACAAAACACATGACCGTGCTTTAGAATGCCGTTTCGAAGTGATTATGTTTGTAGGTTTATCAGGGCCACCAGTATATGTTCACTAAAACAATGAAGGTACAACACGTGTTTCCCACATTTCAAGCTGACACTGCGTGATATAACCGAAAAACTGTTCACAGCGGCTTGAACTCACACTGTAACCATGGAACCAAAATATCGCCTTAAGTGTCTGGGGAATACTTAACCCGCTTCCGTCATGTCCAAGGTGCAGGTTCGACATTCAAGAATACATAACAAACTTCACCAAGGGTCTTTTCCACTATACTCTGGGGATTCTATGGAAATCTAAATATGACAAACAATGGTATTTTGCAGTTATTAATAATTTCCATGTAAAACAATACACACTACGTAGTGTTTGGCATATCTGAAGCTGTCTGTACTTTACCAAATGTCTCCGTCTGGTGTCCTAGAGCAGATTCCGCATCATTTAGTGAACCCACGTTATTAAGGAAGTATTTCTTTGATTGTTGATTAAAACCAGACACTCCAGCGATTAAGAGCATGAGCATCGAACTACGCAACTGGGATACAATGGCATGTGTCAACCCAGTCAACGATTCTGACCACCTGATCCCGTTTGTCGCCACGAGCATTGTTTACTGGAGTCCAATTCTAACCCGGATCTTTACGAGTCGGTAGGTAAGTAAAGATATATAGCCCATGGTCAGCCCTTAAGAGATACGTAAAATCTAACGGTGGAAATACATTGTTATTTAAACACTATATTCTTCTGAAATATATGTTTAAGTTTCATTCGATTGAAAATATGTAATAAGTGCTGGGGCACGTGTCAGTGTCATTCAGCGACACTTTGTATTCCGCAAAAGATCTGCAAAACGTTATATCGAAAAACCCATGGTAAGCCCTTAACAGATACATCTCACGGTGTAGATACATTGTTATTAAATTACTGCATTCTTCTAAAATATATGTTTAAATTTCATTCGACTGAAAACATAAAATACGTGAGGGACACGTGTCAATTTCTGCGAAAGATCTGCGAAAACGTTATATTAAAAGTACATTTGCCTTTTCTTGGGTCAGATATAATGTTTATCTCTCCTCCCCAGTATAGGGTTTATTAGGGAACATGTGACATATTAACACATGGACGTATTGATTTTCGTTTTCCATTCAATGAGATAAAACACGATTCCTGACCAGAAAAACAAATGTCATCTATGTATTATTAACCTCCAATATTCCTATGAGAATAAACAATAAACACCAAACAATGTCCACGATTACACAGATGGCCAAGTACATCTGTTGAAATACATTGTCCATATTATTTCCAGAACCATGGCCGTCACTGAGTCATCGGGTTACTGAAACGATCGGCTATGTCGGTTCGGGTTAAGCAAAAATGCATCTTCCATTTTCCTGTTTTTGCACTCTGCACCGTGAAGGACTCTAGCAATCTCGGCAATGAACACTTACAATGCATTAATTCCAAAAGCACTTAAAACATTTACCTAACTAATCTCGTCAGGACGCCGGAGAGTGGTTTATCTTGCCTATACATCGGGTACCATAAAAGCTTAACGCTACAATTGATTGTCACTTAATGTGCATGCAATGTTATCGATGCCCGGGCAATGTTTAGTTGGGCTTCTATGCAATCCTGTTTCGTTTTAATCCTATATGACATGTAAAACGAAAACAGATTAGTTAGTTAGATAAAACATATGTGACGTCATATGTATAAAACATTTATAGGTGACCTTTTGTTCACTTAATTAGTAAATGTGAGAGTGAAATGTTTGATGCCGCTGTCAACAACGAACATCTGATGAAAGCCTTCAGCAAGCTCAGCTGGTAGCCCACCAATGTAGTCAAGATTGAACTTTCCAGCACACCTTTGAACAAATGCAATCCGACGAGGCCAGACCCGGTTACTTCAGCACAAAGCAGACATCGAAACCATCTTCAAAGGTTCCCCCGTTCCTCATAATCATCCTCCGAGCTAATAGGCGTAACCCTCTCTCCTACGGAATTAAGACTATGGTAACTCTGGCATTGGTGAAACCTCCCGGACACAAGATACCAACACCATGGAACATAAAACTTGAACAGCTAAAGTAGGCAGCAAATATGCCCTCCCAGACCACCCACGAAATGTCTCTATCCCGCAAAATATATCTTACCATCACAGTCTGAATCCTCTCATCCCAACAAAAGGACTTCACCACTTTGAACATCATATTAATCAATGGACTTTCTATATTGGTCTTTCATCAGTTTTTCAAGTTGTTTTAAAGTCCGTTACTCCTTATCCTGAAATATGTATATTACCAATACCCCCCTGTGTTATTCTTACAATACATCAGGGCGGTGGGATAGCCCAGTGCTTAAAGCATTCGTTCGTCACGCCGGAAACCCAGGTTCGATTCACCACATGACTACAATATGCGACGCCCATTTCTGGTGTCCCCGCTGTGGTATTGCTGGAATATTGCAAAAAGCTAAAACTAAACCCACTCACCACTTACAATACATCTGGCTTCATTTCAATTTTACACAATTAACTATTACCTGTTGTTGTTACTCTGCTGTTTATCACAACATATCATGACATATCATGACATATCACAACATATCATGCATATCCACCCCTCTTGGTATCCAGTTTGATAGCGATGTAAGAATCTACACCGATACCTTGCCATATACAATTAACAAGATGTTGCTGTCCATGAGGTTGTCCATGAGGTTGTTGTTGTCCATGAGGTTGTTGCTGTCCATGAGGTTGTTGCTGTCCATGAGGTTGTTGTTGTCCATGAGGGTGCACGTCCTTTACTTACTACCACATCAAGACGACACTCAGACTCAGGTATAATGTATTCTATATATCTGTCTCACAGAGCAATTCCTCAATGGGTTCTGAAACATGTATTCCAGCACATACAACAGAGCTTTTGAACTCGAATTCCCCCCAACTTGCTCTATAGTTACAGACGACATAACATCACAGTCCCGTCTCAATCAATATCGACTTTATATTTTATTCAACACTCCGTTTGTTTGAAGTAAAATAAATCGGTTGTTTGTCCTATTGTTGTCCGCATATCCTCGATTTTTCTAGGAATTCAAGAAATGCCTAGATCGAAACATTTGTACGAATATATTCAAATTCCTAACGGAAAACACCTTTGGTGTGAGAAGAGTCATCGTTTCATTCATCTTATCACAATAACCCCATAATTTAAACATGTTCAGAATCCAACAGACCCAGGCATCACACGTATACGACGACGTACTGTTATCTTGACACAATATTACGGTATAGAGTGTATAAAGGACCAAGCTAAGGTGCTGATGGCGATGAAAATTGTCGTCACAACGGTCTCCGCAGCACAGGTTGCACCGGAAAAGACTACAAAACGAAGGTTGTACAAAATGCTACAAGGGTTGCATAAAATACATCAAATTTACCACACTACCCCGCAACAAACGCACCCCCAACACACACGCACGCGCGCACACACACACACACACACACACGCCTATATACACATGGAACTACGAGGTTTCAGGGGGAAAAGCGTCTTTCCCACATTTAGCTGTTAAACTTGTTCTTAACATGTTTAGACCCGAAACACGTCAATATTATGGGACAATATATACCTGTTTAGGTTGGTGTTTAAATCATAACCCGTTTGTGCAGTGAAGACTCCAATGTCCTACTATCGCTTTGAATTGTCAGCTATGGACACTTGGGTAACCCAGATGCTAATGCATTCTTCGTCATACCAAAGACCTATTTTTGGTGTCTTCTTCCTAATATACTAATGCATAGACGTTGTGCTGCAGTTATTGCCGCTCGTGGTGGTCACACTAGATACTGAAGTCAAGAGTCTGAATATACTGCAAACGTTCACGTAATGTCTTGGAATTGTGCTGAGTTATTCATCGATGTATCGAGATATTGTACACAAAACATGTTTTTGATCCGCTTATTATGTCCATTTCTGTAATGATCTGATTACAGTGCCTATCTAATTTTGAATTCGTACTGACATTTTTTCTGCTGCTGAGTATATTACCGTGATACTGCAAAAAGCGGCGTAAAAACCAACTCACTTACTCACTCATTCATTCACTCACTCACTCGACTACAGCGAGTCCTTTGTGTGACTGACTGACCAATTTACTGTTTGCAGTGAAAACGTACCGATGAATTTCACTCTAAATAAAAAAGTAAATCGATTAAAGCGAAATTAAGATTGCGAATCCTCATAATTTTACCTTGCCAATTGAACATTCAAATCTCAGAATTTTATTCAACTTAGGATAAAAGTTGTTTAACAAACGATCATAGTTTCAAATCGATATTATTGGTTGAATTACAAAGGGGTGGGGGTGGGGGTGCACATTAGATGAAACACCGAGAACAAGTAGGGCTGGTCTAGGTTAACGCTCATCACGTACCGCACGTGCTTTCGTTTCACTTTCCATCTAGTGCGCTTACCCCCTTGTAAAACAAACCAATAATAGCGATTTTAATCTATGATCGTGAATAAAATTTTGAGATTTAAATGTTCATTTGGCAAGGTAAAATTATGAGGATTCGCATTCTTAATTTTACTAAATTTGATTTACTTTTTTGTTTAAAGTGAAATTCATCGGTACGTTTTCACTGCAAACAGACTATACTGTATAATGCATCCATGTCAGAGTCTGGCTATCATCACA